CTAATAGTACCTTAATTTAGTACCATTCAATTCAGCGTTACCTTTAGCGACTTGTGCTCTCTAAATTTAAATTTCCATGTGCATTACCTCCATGATGTAACAAAAAAACAAATGGTGATATGTGAGTTTGAATTTATGGCCTTCATCAAATGACACAATTTTCTCAGCAATATACTAAGTTTGTTCTCGTGCAACTTCAAAAGGTGTTTGTTTATCTCTTCTTCAATCCAGCTATTAAAGACATAATTGAAGTCAGTTCATATCAATATCTAAAATGGTACATTACACATAGGCTAAAAAATGTGGAATCACATCGATTGAAGGTGTACTATGGCTGCTAGGCAGACCGCATACATTATGTGCATGCACATGTTACTTAAATAGAAAATTAAAAATTAATACGGATGATAAAAAAGGTCCAATCATATATTATTTAAAACATCATATTCTAATGTTTAGTGTCTCTAATCCCTTTGCAAATGAAACTTCTCTTTAGTGAATCATCCATTATAACAACAAAAGAGGGGGAAAACAAAGGTGATATATAAATATGGACAAATACAGCTAACCACCGTACTAAGTTGCCGGCAAAAAGGGACACAAATTAAGTGAAGTAATTACAGTGAAGTTGTTTGAGCCATAACCCATATGGCTTCTAATAAGACATTCATGTTACGGTTAATGCAATGAACGTGGCCGGCTTGATCAATGAAAAATGCCGGCATTTACTTGGGTCTTGACCCTTTTGAGTTAGCCATGCTGGCCAAACTGTGAAGATATTATAGTCAGCAATTAAGCATGAACTAAGATCCAATGCACACCCTTGTCTTAAAATAACAAAGCACTCACAAGTCACGATGCGCTAGACAGCTTGTACTAATTGTTTATTTGAGGTCTATAAAGGGATTAATATTAGAGTTGCCTAATCTAATTAGATACCTTAAAGTAATTTAACTTTAGTTACATCGCAGCACCTAGTTTTATATATATATATATATATATATATTTGATCTACCTTCTTGGAATGATTAGCTCAGGTACAGTGTGCATGTAATGTACATGAAACATGCATAATATGCAGGACCGTACATACTCACACTGACACATATTCAAGATTCATCTGTATAGGTCGAGGTTCTTTTCATGTGTATGTGGTGTGCTTGCCAGAAGTGATCATATCGAAGTTTTTTTTTTTTTTTTTTAACTAGGCATATATCAGTGTTATCTTCTCTATTTTTTTTTTCTGTTTCATGAACATATCATATTTACTGGTTGTTCAATGAGGTGATAATTTTTGAGGAAAATAAAAGAATGTATTTAACTGTATTCAATTTTATTAATTATATAGATAGTCTGTAAACAATTTAGAAAAGAGTAAATTACACTCTCTCCCTATTTTGTTTAAACAATTATACTTCTCTCTCCCAATTTATCAATGTGCTTCTTTCACCATCAATAAATAACGATGGGCACCTGTTGTGAATGGATCTTTTAACGATATCTTATTTTCTCTTTAACTTTTAAAATCTTCAACAACTAATTTAAACACTATGCAATCAGTAGTTTTTAAATTTTAGTAGATAAAATAAAAAATATATTATAACTTTGTTTAAAATTTGTATTTCTTCTTTTTTAAGTCTCATATTTAGCTCATCACAAAAATTTGAAATTAGTTATCAATGATGTTAATAATTAATAATAAAAAGAAAAATAACCTTGCTAGACTTCTTCACATTAAGATGAACTAAATTGTAACAAACATTAATATTTTGAAGAATAAAGTATAAATTTTTAAAATGATAAAGAATAGTTATGTAATTTAAGCATCTTTCAAGAATTTTTTTTAAATAAAAAAGGTTAATGTAACTTAAAGACCTCTGAAAAAGTGTAATTTACTCTTAAAAAAGTTCATTCATTTTATGAGTTAATTTGTTAAGCTTAACCCACAAATAAATACAATCTGATGCTTCTTTGAATTCATTAATTATTAATTTTAAGTTTTTTAATATTTTATTAAATAAAAATGTTTAATCAATTTTATCCATATAATTAAAAATAAATATCAAGAATATTCAAATATACATAAGTGTTAACTCATAACGATACATTAGTAGTGTAATTTTTACAAGTTATCATTAAAATATATTTTATATAAAGCCATAAAAATAATTTTTTTATTTAAATTAATTTTGTAAAATTTTAAATTTCAGATTTCAAATATTTCTATTTGTATTTAAATTTTGATTAATTATCAGTACGATAATTTTTCGTTAGTTAAAGAATCTTCTTTTATTTACTTTTTAAATATATTTAACCTATTTTGTAAAGTATTATTGTCATGCAGTAAGCTACAAAATAGTCACTAGTATTAATGAAAATTATATCAGTTAGACCAAAATTATAACCAATATATCCTACTTTATAGTAAAAATTGAGGACATTTAGCGTTATTTCCTTATTATATTAAGAATACAACAGACAACAATGGTAGTTAATTGAGTGAAAACAAACTTAATAGATAAAGATCATAATTGATAAAATAAACCGTTTCTTTTTTATAAATAAATGCAATAAATAAGGTTCAAGAATCAAGAGAGCTATAATTGAATTTTAAGCTCATGGATAGTAGTATTGAAATTTCAATTGAACCAATTATGTATTGGAAAATTTTAATCTTTTAACTTTGGATATCAGTAGGAATCATTTTGGAAATGTTTAGTCTTCATTCGTTTTGAAAACTCCAGTCTTAAGTCTTTAATTTTAAGATCATTTACATTTATGTGATGTTTAAATGCCACTAAATATATTTGACCTATCTTTCACGATTTTACCTGCATTATAGATGCTCTGTTCTGCCGTGATGTGTATTAATAATATAAACTTCTCAATTAACGGAAAGGATAATTTCAAGATGGTATTGGATAAATTCCATCAGTAGTTGTAATTTATTAGTGTGAATCACTAATTTTTTGGCATGGTATCACAAATTTCATCTATTGAAAATATCTTAAATGACAACGACTCAAAATTTTAATATTTTAAAATCATTTATGTATAATGTCAATATTGGAAATTGATCATCTACCAAATTAATTTTTTTCTCATACTTTATTCAAGAGTTTGTAGGTGTAAAACTATAATTTAGGGGGGCAGAAAATCCAAATCAGGGTAAGAGCCACACCCAACATCTTCTTTGTATACTTAATTTTGAATTGCTTAACTAATTTAAACTAAAAACGAATGTTTTGCTTATCATTGTAGATCAAATAATACCCTTTACAAGGAATAGGAAGACAAATGTATCACAGTAACATTGTTTCGAAGAAGTTAAAAAACCAAAAGAAGGTAAAATAAGTAAAAATATAGATTCGCCTTTGATAACTTGTATGATCCTTTTTTCCCAGTTAAGGGTAACCCAAAAAAGATCAAAGTGCCTAACTGGCATACCGAGAAGGCATAGTGGATACCCTCCAACTCCAAGTTCTTATTCTGCATCCAATATGCAATTTTAGAGGCTACCTAACCAATTTAAAAAATTCCTGTCATGCCAAGAGAATTTAGCTGTATCGTTGTGGCCCTTGGAAGAAAGATGACATTTACAATACTTTATATCGACGATTCCTAAAGCATATTAAAACAAAATATGAGATAAAAGAGGCATATCATTGTGATTCACTCTTGGACGCATATAAATGTGCCAATTTTTAGTTTCATTACCACTAATCCTCTCCTCAACTTCTCTCTGGCTTACATGATTTGGTGGTATAGTAATAGCTGCAACAATTTCAAAAACAAAAGGAAAACAAAAGTTGAAACCGAACCGACTACCCAAATAAGAACTTGAAAATAAAATAAGGTAGCATAAGGTAACCCCACTTGATAATGACCCAGCCAATGTTTGAGGACTTTTGCTTTACCAAACTACCCTTGAAATGTGCCCCCTCAATCACCGAAGGAGAATCAAGAAACAGTGGGATAGGAGCAGGCCTTGATTGGGATATGAAGCAATTGGATAGAGGGTAACCAAGAAGGGTCCCACTTGAAAATCTTTTATAATCCTACAAATAAAAACCATTCACTAATAGAAAGTCCAAAGAATAACGGCCGGAGAGTGGAACCTTTCACTTGAAGAGTGTGTGTGTGTGTGTGTGAGAGAGAGAGAGAGAGAGAGAGAGAGAGAGAGAGAGAGTGAGTGAGTGGAGCCATTTCCTTAATAGCAAGACAAAGGAAGGAATAGTTGGGAATGGAGTTAGTTTTAGTAGGTTCCTCAGCTATAGGGGATGCTTATTTGGACAAATCTTAACCGTTGGATTTCGAGTGGCGTAGTATCCTCAGTTGAGTACACGTGCTGCTATCCTCCCTCTCTTTACCACTCTCCCTCTTTTTTTTATCTTTGCTTCCATGCATGGATTTCTCCTCCAAACATAGTCAAGTTGAGAGAAGAGAGATAGAGAGAGAAATCAACGCTCACTAAACTCTTTTTTTTTTCCTCTCTCGCCTAGTTCATCGCCATCATTTAGAAACAAAGGTAACACCACACACCAACTCTTGCAAGTTTGGTTTTTTTCTTCAAAACTCAACTACCCAAGAAGCTAGAAGTAACGAGAGGAAGCTTTGCTTCACTACTCATTCTCTTTCCTCTTTTTGTGGCTTAGATCTTGCACTTGGTTGCAATTCTGTTGAAACTCATGCTTCTCTCTTGAGTCAGTGCAAAAGGTGATGTGATGCAGCTTTCTCGCGGTTTCTCCTCAATAATCTGATCTGGGTCTAGCTAGTTTTATCTTTTTCCTTTGTGATACTCATTCCCATTTGTGTGCTGAGATCGATGAATTCAGCATTCTTGGGCATTCCCTGATTCAGTAGCATCCAAACAACCCTTTTTGACTCTCTGATCCGTCTCTTCGATTTCTTGAAATTCAATGGAAGCAGATCAAGAACTCAAACACGCCTGCAAGTTCTGCAACAAGAGCTTTCCTTGTGGTAGATCCTTGGGGGGTCATATGAGGTCTCATGTCACCAACCTTTCAGCTGAGACAGAAGAGAAGGAAAAGCTTGCAACGAGGAAGCCTTCATCATCTCTCAACAATGGTGTAGACAAAGATTCTGAAGCTGCAACCAACGCTGGTTATGGTCTTAGGGAGAACCCCAAGAAGACTTGGAGGATTGAGAATTATTCAAGTGAAGACACTTTGGTGGTCTTTGACAAGTTCTGCAAAGAGTGTGGCAAAGGGTTTCAATCTTGGAAAGCCTTGTTTGGTCACATGAAATGCCACTCTGAGAAAGAAAGAGTTTCCAATAGCTTGGAGGATCAAGATTCATGGACTGATAATAACAATGCTAATTCTAGCCACAAGATGGTTATGGATAGCCAATCTGATAATGAAGCGACTGCTCCAAATAGAAGAAGAAGATCCAAGAGAAGAACAAGGTACATGGTTGCTGCTGCTGCTGCTGCTACAACTTCTTCTGTTGTGTCTTTTACCAACCCTTCCTCTTCTCTTTCCGAGGTTGAGCAAGAGCAAGAAGAGGTTGCTATGAGCTTGATGATGCTTAGTAGGGATGTGAGTCCTTGGAGTGGTCTTCATTCTGTTGCTGAGTCCTCTGACAATAACTCTGCTTGCTTTGAAGCTCGATCTTCAGTTAGAACTAATCTGGTTACTAAATTTGAAGGCAGCAACAAGTTCAATCCTACCTCCAAGTCCAACATAGCAAAACCGATCAAGCAAAGTGATAAAAAGGGGGAGGTTGGAGATTCGGCTTCTCAAAAACCCAACTCTATCAAAGGGAAAAGTTCAGAACTTTTGGCTACTACTGAGTTTCCTGAAAATGGGTTTAGGATGAGCAAGGTTGGAGTTTCCAATAAAGGGTTCATCAAGGATGAAAAAGTTAACAAGTCTGAGCTTGACTATGTGTCTACATTGGAGGATTCTGAAGGTGAACATGGGAGGAACAGAGTCAATGGAACAGAATCAGTTTTGTCAAAGTCTGCTACTCCTGTTTCTAACAAGCACAGTTCAATCAAGACAAAGTTTTTTGGTTCTGAACTGAAGTCAAATTATTCCCTTAAGAATTGGGTGGACAAGGCTTCAGAAGCTGAATCCAGCAAGAACTCCCATAAGAGAGGCAAGTTCGAGTGTACCACTTGCAACAAAATCTTCCACTCCTACCAAGCTCTTGGAGGACATAGAGCTAGCCATAAGAAGATTAAAGGTTGCTTTGCTTCAAAAAATGAGAGCAGTGAAAACAGCATTGAAACTGAACTCTCCCCTGACCCCACAACTGAAAGCAAGCTCATGAAGAACAGTGGCAATGAATATCTGGTTGAACATGGACATGGTCCTGGTTTTCATAATGAGGTAGATACAGTTACTGAGTCCAAGAAAAGCAAAGGGCACGAGTGCCCAATTTGCTTTAAGGTTTTTCCATCTGGCCAAGCCTTGGGTGGCCACAAGAGATCTCATATGGTTGGTGGGTCTGAGAGTAGAAACTTTCAAACAGTTGTACTTGAGGAACCAGTACCAGAAATTAGAGACTTGCTTGATCTTAATCTTCCTGCAGCTACTGAGGAAGAAAGCAATAGCCATGCTGACTCTAACAGACCCTGGTGGGTAGTAGAAGACAACCACAAACAGGAGGCACTGGTAGGCCTTATCTCATAGCTATACCTCAGTTTATTCCATCAGTCCTACTGCTTCAGTTCAGTGTGAAGATTCAAACTGTATAGAAATGTTTCTGCATTCATTTCATTGATTCTTTACAGGATATGTGTCTTCTTCTTCTTAAGGGTATTTCTGTTTTGCTCAGATTCTTCAAGCGGTTCATAACATAAGATGAACTTTCAGTCTGTTCTCTTCCTTTTTGATTTCTAATTTTTTTCCCGGATGCTATGTGTTATTTACTTTGTTCATAGAATAAGTTCCATTTCTGCAAACTTTAAGCTCATTATTTTGGTTGTCTTAGAAACTGTAGGCATTCTAACTGTATGGTACTGTGCTTTCACACACTTCCCTCCTTGCATTTTAGAAATGTACTTAATTATATAATCATAAATTCCAAAGGTGACATGTTCGTGGGGTAATTATTTTTCTTTGCATCAAAGAGAAATGAATGAGATGTTGAAAAAATGGGATAGGTACCCGAAGTCATTACACATGAGGAGATAGAAAGGTAGATTTTATAATACACATAAAGAAGGCATGTGAACACAAGGTGGTTGTTTAGTCACCCTACCATAAAACCTGACCACCAATCTCTCTGTTGTTTCCTTCTCTTTCTTGGCACACAAGTGGTGTGCTAATAAATCCTTCTCACTAATCACTATGTACTCTCAGTAGCAAATATCATAATAATTCATTAAGAGAGTGAGGGGGATGGTTGGACCACTACTATGTACCGAAGTAAAATAACAGCATAAAATTCAGCTCAGCGGTTAAATATCACTCTTTTTCTTTTGTACTAGAATGACCTCATTTTTTCACATGGATCATAGAATATATTAGAAAATGGGAATTTTAACCATAAAGGGTATCAGGGGTGAAAAAGGTGAAGACAATAAATCTATGATCCTATGTTGGGTTATGATACACGAATTGGCACCAATTGACACGGATTACTATTATTTGTGCTTACCATTTTAAAGAAGTGGAGCAATGCATATGTGCCTTTTAATGTGTCACGCCCAACTAGTTTAGCAATCGACATTTGTTGGCAACTTGACATAGCTTTTGTTCACTTGCACAGTATGGAGAAATTCCTGTGTCACTCGATTTTGGTAGCTGGCAAATGGTTCTGTTTATTTGTTTTGTCGACTATTGCAAAGAACAAACTGCAAAGAAAGCTATGCAATCTGAACAGTGCTTATTTAGTTACTAGTTAGGCAGCTATATTATAGTTAGGCACCTATTTCTCTCAAATTTATTCTGTTTTAAGTTTGGATTTATTACTTTAAATGATATTATATAAATAACTCTTTATAATATAAAAGGATGCACCCTATTTTTGTCTATATATTGTGCACTGTGACTTCGAAAGTTGTGTCTAAATTTACATACGTTGTGTCAATTAACATTGTTTGAGGAGTATTAGCATAGAAAATTTTGAAAATTAGTATGATATTTGATAAATAATTTTGTGATGACTATTTTCTTTTTTTTTTAAACGTTTTAAAAGATCGTTGAGTGAATATACAAAACTTTTTAAAAATATTTTTTAAAATAAATTTTGTATATTATAAAAATAAAATTATATAAAAGTTTAACACGTATTATTATTATTATTTTTTAAGTTTCATTTATGCCATATTGAAATCTGTTTTAAAAAATAAGTTTTGTATCTGTGAGATGAGGTAAAAATTAATAGTGATGTGGTAAAAAAAGTTTTATTTTAAAATTATTTTAATAAATAATTATTTAAAAAATAAGCTCAAAATTCTACCTTTCTTTTTGGCTTCGATCATTAAATTTTCTTAATTTTAATATATTACTTAATTATATTTGTCTATCACTTTATTAATATTGTCTCATTTCACTAAATGAATATATTAAAAGATGAGAATGAAGTTGGAAAAAAATAATTATTTTTAATTTTTAAAAAAAGATAAATCATTTTAAATAAATAAAAAGTTCTAAAGTGAATTATTTTGAGAAAGAGGGAATAATACTCTAGAAGTTAACTTTCACGAATTACTAACTCACTTTTCTAATGATAGATTTTTAGTATATCATACTCTTGCTATAGTTTATGGTAAGTGTATATTGACATAACTAGGATTAAAATTTAATTTATGACAATTCAAGTACGAATGAAAGTATTACAAGAAACTTAATACTACTAATTTAGCATTGAATTCTTGTATCCACATAGCAGCCTTACATCATACCCAAATTGGCTTAGGAGGGGAAACTTAAAAGAAAGTTTTAAAAATATAGATAAAGTCTATTTGGGTCCTTTCAGATCGAAGCAAAAAAGAAAGTCTAAAATACTTGGCAGCCCGTCAACTTGGTTTATAGAGTCAATGGGATTCGTTTGGAAGTTTGATTCCTATAAATATCATTAGTGGTAATAATTAATAATATCATGAAGATTTTAATAGTAATTAAAAGGAGGTTAAGATCAGATGCACTCTTGATCATAGTGTGCCCCATTAGGTATAAATTGAACATGTGGCTATTGGCTTGTTATTACATGGTAGGTGTCGTGAAATAAACAACAAATGATTAGTTCAGCTTTTATTGGATCTTGGGTTTTCCGTTTCTATTCAATCTTAATTTAATGAGGGAGAGTTTTGAGGTCATATATATATATATATATATATATATAGAGAGAGAGAGAGAGAGAGAGAGAGAGGGAGAGAGAGATTTCCGAGTTAAAACCCTGGCAACACTGTAATGAAAATATATTATATTTATAATTCTGATTCAAAAATTAATAATTATATTTGCCTGTCTCTCAAATTTTTATGCATAAGAACTTGCCTTTCCTTGGCTATACCTATCATGTGAAATCACTGAAGCAGTTTATGTAATTGGGTGGGTTTTGTAATTCCATTCCCAAATGAAGTTTGACAAAAACAAACATGGCTCATTGAAAATGTAGTTAATGAATGTCATAGGTACGTTCTGGTCAATGTTAGCATGGCATCATATCTACACCTAACAGACAACAAAACTTGACATAGTGATTTCCTACTCTGATGAGGTACTTGTAAAGTATCCAAGTCCAAGGACTCTATCATCAATGTCTTCACTTTAATCCTTATTTCTAATTCCACAAGTCTTGCCTTTTTAATGGAGTCACTTTTCTCTTCTTAGAATTCTCTATCTGTGCTTCATTGCTTTCATTTCCAATCTGATATTGTTAATGTAGGAATCGTTTTTTCCTCCATTTTCGTTAAGTCCAAAGCAAATGTAATGTCAGTATTAAGGATTTGTCCCCTACACGAATTTCTTAGCTTTCATTCCAACATATATTTTGAAGATAATTTCTAAATTTCAAAGCCTCATAGTTGGCTATTTCCATCTTATAAATGGTTGATGCTTGCTTAGTTTTCGCAAAACATATAATTAATTATCATTTGAATTTTAAATTCAAACCATTAATGAATTTTTCAAACTACCGAGCAATTTTAATATGTGTTAATTGACATATATTAAGAAGCGTAAAATACTATATATTAAACACTTTAAATTAACATAAAAAAATATGTGATTAACAATTTTTAAAATTTTGAAATAATAATTTTTTTATTTTCAATAAAAAAATAAAGAAAATGGTTGGGAGTATGAGTATTTCAATACTTACGTCTTTGTGCACTCAAATATTTTAAAATATATTGAAGTAAAATTATATTTATTAAAACTACACATAACTTTACACTTTTTTATTATTTTAACTCTACTAAGCATAATATATATCTATTAAATTTTAATATATAATATTTTAATACATTTTAGAGAGTGAAAATTTTGAGAAGACAAGTTTATGAAATGATTATTTCTTATTTTTGTTAAATTGAAGTTGAACTTATTTAAATCATTTTATGTATTTCAAACATTAATGTACATTATATAATGCAATTAATTCTTTCATTGTATACAAATTTTAATTTAATTAAAAAATTATTTATCATATTTTAGTTAAGATGTAAAATAAATTTATTTGTTGTAATAGTCTACCTAATCAATCATGTGAGGTTCCATCCCTACTTTGATGCTTTGCCTTAACCGCTAAACCATATTCAATTCAGGCCCACTTTCTCTGTTGATTTTTGTAATTTAGGCCCAATACGAATTCATGGTTTTTCAGGACCATTTGGTTTAAGAAATTAGAACGGGAACGTGTTTTAATTGGGCAGTTAGAACTTGGAAGAAAAAGCATAATTACCATAAGAATAGAGAAAAAAGGTAATTACCTAACTTCATACAACATATTTCTATTAATTCGTCTATTTATTAAATTTAAAATATTATTTTATATTTTTAAAATATTAAATACATTTTCATTTTTATTGAATACTTTGTTCATAAGGTATTAATGAGATTAATTAGCAAATATCGTAGAAAAATATAGTATTATTAAAAAAGTTATCAAGAGCGATGATAACAATGTACTCTACTCATTAACTTTGAAAACTTGCATAAGGATTTAATAATTTTTTTAATATGTGTATAAGAATACACAATAACATTTTATTAAAAATATTATAAAATTTATTACATTAATAATATTAAATATTATAATTTTAATAAAAATTATCTATTTTTAATTTTGATCAAGAAAAATCAAATGATATATAATGGAATTAAGAGTATAAGGACAAGAATGACCTCCATGGGAATGGAATTTGGAAGCGGGACAATGGGTCTCTCTACCCCCAACCACCACCGCCATTGCTATTCGGATGAGGAAATATAGGCTTCCATTTCTTCCAAATTCTACTTACTGGTTCGTCTTCAATATCAGTTTACGATGTTTCTTTTTTTATTAAAACGTTACCAAATCCCCAAGTTTCAAAAACACGATTATTTAATTTACTTGTAACTGTCAATTCTCTTTTTAAATTTCAAATAACGAACGTTTCATAATTCCTTACCCTGGGGAGTGGAAGGAACAGTTACTGTCTTCAATTTCGAATTTCCAATTCATTAGTTTCTCCGCACACTCTTCCCATTAAAAGTTTTATTTTATTTTGATTTACTGTTTCGGAAATTTTGACGTTGTTTATCTGGTAAATGAACATCGATCAGGTACCTTTACTCCTATGCAATTGTGTTGATTTTGCTGACAAAAATGTCAAATAGCTGCAGAAGTGATATTCGTACTCCCTTAAATGCGGAGGAACTTAGTGCCAGATGTAGAAGAGAGGTAGCCCTTTTTTGAAACCTAACTATTCCTTTTCCTCCTTGAGCCTGCTCGATTTTGCTATAATTTCCAACCACCTTATCTACCAATCGGGTGGTAGTAATTTTTGGCCATTTTGTTTTTTGATAATAAAATTCCTACTTTGATGGAGGAGGGGGGGGGGGGGGGGGAGATTGGCCTCTCTGATTGAATTCCTAATTTTATGAATGTGTAGCTTATGTATATATGAGGTGTAACTACCTGTTTCTTGTATTTTGGATTTGCTTTATCATTTTTACTTTCTTATTCCTGCCCACTAGAACGAAGTATTATTTCTGTGTCAATGCAGTAAGTTTCTTTTCAAATATTGGTTTAGTTTTTCGTGCTGTTAAGCTGTTTACAGATGTTGTTTATGTATCAACCTTTTTTTACCAATATATTTTTTGTCCGTGATTTGTAGCATAGAAAAGAGAATGGCGTTTTAGAAAGTTTTCAATCTCAAAGCATTCAACCAATCCGGGTATGTTATGTGTTAGATCGTTGTGGTTAATTTAAAAGCACCGATGCGAGGTTGTTAACTGTAATGCTTGTAGAGAGCTCTTCTTGTGCTTAATGTCCTGTGTGAAATGTTACATAAACTCTTCCTTCCGAACTTCAAATTCTAAATAAAGTTATGTTCTAATATTCCATCAGCCAGATAAACACTGGTCAAAGAGAGAGCAAAGAACAACACATGGTAAAGGAACAGTAGAAAGTGAAGTTCAACCTTTTTGCATAGACTCCCCTGGTCTTAGTTTGTAAAATGAGGATAGATAGTCAAGTTAATTGACTAAAATGTTTTGAATATGGGATTTTATTTAGCATACGCCTGATACAAATCTGATTTATGAAATTGATGCAGATACTTGAACAATGTGAGAAGTCACTATCAGAAGCTTATACAGAAGATAAGAGATGCATCCAGAGGTTGGAAAAAGAGCTGGTGAATTGTTCTCAAGAAATAGGTAGGTTTTATTTTTATGGCACACTTGTGTGAACTTCCATGATTACCAATTTATTGACAGATGGTTATCATTGAAGAGTACCCCCCCCCCCCCCTGTTCTTCTCTCTCTCTCTCTCTCTCTCTTACCTTTCGTACATGTCTTTTTGTCCTAAAAATTACTTTGCAATAGTTGTTGAGTTCCCATGGAATGAATTTATTAAATGCTGCTTTGCTTGTACTTTAAACAGATTATCTTCAAGATCAACTCAGTGCTAGAAATGCGGAGGTGAACTATCTGGAAGAGCATGTTCGCAACCTTGAACTGAAATTGGAGGGAATGGAAGATTTACAACAAGAGGTTTTCAGCTTAAGAGAGGAGCTGAAAGGATCAAATTCAAAGCAATTTTTGTTGATTCAGGAACTTGAGACTAAAGAAGTAGAATTAGAGAAGTCAGCTTTGGCCATAGAGAAACTAGAGGAATCATTTTCATCCATAGGATTAGAGTCTCAGTTTGAGGTAGAGAGTATAAAGCTTGATATGATGGCCTTGGAACAAAATCTTTTCGAGGCCAAGAAAATTCAGGATGAAACTCTAGATGAAAATAATAGAATGAGTAGGCTAGTTGAGGAGCTCCAGGTTGCATTGCAGGATGCACAAAAAACCATCATCTTTCTAAATGAAGAGAATAGGGAACTTAAAGAGAAGCTTGATACTGTCAACATAAAGTCCAGAATTTTTTCTCAAAAGGATGAAAACTGGCTGGAAAACAAGGACAGACCACAACTCAAGAAGCAGCCTTCCTTGAATGAACAAGGCAGCAATTCTATCATACCAGAGGACATAAGGTACATATTTTGAAGTTTTGTTTAGATGTTTGACTAATTATGTGGGAAACGTGGTCAGTTAAGTTTGTTGTTTTAATTGTGTATGGTTGTTAGCCCTTGCATATAACTGGGCTTGACCTTGTATTTGATAGTTTCAGAACTGTCTTCAAGTTAATAAAACAGAAATGGGGTTTCTCAGTCTACTTTTTTCCTTTTCTATTCATAATATATTTCCATATTTACTTAAATAATGAATAAAAATAGCACACAGATGCTTTCATAAAGTCTTGACAGTTTAGTATGATCAAAATTAATAAAGGTATGTCTGATATTGCAAGAGCTATTAAGTAGACTTCATTTCACTTATTGGTATTTTGAATTTGTACAATTTCAGTATGTATGGGATGCATTCAGAAAATTAAACAAATGAGTAAAAACCCTTTACTAGTTTATGATTTGAGGCATTTTTTCACTAAACGTTCCAGTTTGTTTTCTTAATATTTCCTCAGGACTTATGGAGATGTACAGGTTCCACTCCTTCGAAGATCAACAGTGATCTTAGATCCAGCTACAGATTTGGAAGGGAAGATGGAGATGTCACATCAGATTCAAGAATATGAATGTCTTGTCAAGAAACTGAAGGTATGGCCATCCATCTAAGCTTAATCATTAGAGTGTGTGAATTTGTTAATTAGACATTTTGTATCATAACTCCATGGTTCAAATCGTTTTTTTAGCTTGGAGATTTATATGGTATGTTGATTTCCTTTACTAGGAAGAATTAAGAGAGGAAAAGATGAAGGCCAAAGAAGAAGCAGAGGACTTAGTTCAGGAAATGGCAGAACTGAGATACCAATTTACTGGTTTGCTAGAGGAAGAACGTAAGTGCCGTGCTAAGATTGAGCATGCTTCCTTGCAAAGAATTGCGGAGTTAGAGGCTCAGGTCTGAATTTAGAAGTTAAATCTCCCTCCCTTTCTTATCAGAGATCATCCAAAAGTGTAACCTGTTTAATTTTTCCTCATTTGTTTTTATTCTAGCTTCAAAGAGAACATAAAAACCCTTAATGGCTGCCAGGCATCTCCTTGAAACAGAGAGATTGGAATTGTTTTAAATCTTTCAAGTTCAGGCGTTCAGTGGTAGAGAATGACCTCAAAAGGTTTGTATTAAGGTGTCTCAAAAGTTGCCATCTGAATATTGAAGTAGATTGCCAAATACCAATTTCTTTAAAGTGGAATTATTGAACTAAATGCTTTTTATATTGAGTTCGAAGTCCAGCATATTGTCCGCAAGTATCTCTTTATCTTTGGCTCAATTACACTGTGTACTGAAGGGTTAGTTTTGTAGTTATCGGGCCTTATAGCTGCATGCTGCACAGTACTTATGGGTTTACCTTTCTTCCTTTCATATTAAATGAACTCTTCTCTAGTCTGGCCATGGTCTGCAATAAATTCTGACATTCCTCTGGCCAGGAAAGGAATAGTTTTAATGTCTAATTTTAGGGAGAGAATGAAATGATGGAAAATTGTAATGATGGTTAGGACAGAAAAGAATGAGAATGCAATGATGATCATTCCCTTTGTTTGAGCTGCTATAAATGAAGTTTGCTTCTTCTTTTAAATCATGTCAGTTTCTAGTTTCTACAACATTTATGTACTATCAATTATCCTCTTTGGTTACTGACACTTTTAAGTTTCTCGCAATCTCACTTCCGCTAATTTGAATTGCTATTGTTTCCCAGGGTTTTTATAGTTCTGGTAAGCATGCCGGCAAGAAATTTGTTATACTCTAAGCAGCAACATAGCCTTCTTTCCCTTCTGAAGGAAGATTCATCTAGAACGTCTCTTTAGGCCTCGGTTTCAAAGATTCTATCGAAGCTGAAAGAACCAAAGTGGGTTGTATAGAAGAACAGGGAACGACTTAATAGGATGTGTTAGTGGCTGTATGTATGGAGAGGGGGAGGAGAGGCAATTGTGCATGATTGACCTATATATGTAGTTGGCATAATTTTACCGGTTTGAATACATGTTTTGTTTTAATGAATAACTTTTGACAAACATACTACAGAGATATCACACTTCCGAATGCAATTTTCCTAAAAGTAAAAATTTCTCAATTATGGGAAACGAAGTTTTCAGCGTCAAACTAACAGGCTATAACTGTGTGGATGAAAATAAATTAAAAATCTGTAAATATGAATTTAAAGCACTACTTACAATGTATTTTATAAACACATTTTAAAAACTTGTAAACATAGATATAGTATAAAAAGTATAATCGGTAATGTTAAAGCAAACTTAGATTCATGTTCATTTATAATATAAATATGCTAATAATTAGTAGTATTAAAGTAAATATAAATTAATGACAATTTAAATGTGAATTTAAATATATACTAAAATAAAACAGTTTATCTTTAGCTTTTTACTCCATAATTTAATATTTTTCTTGAATTTTAAGAGTGTTTAGATCAAGGAATTTTACCTTCTATCAAATTTTTATTTTTGATTAACATACTTTTTGTCGTATTTCTTCTCCAAAAATAGGAGAGATGGATTTTATTGACCATGATAAGAATATGGAATTTGGTGACTCAATGAATCCCTGTTGATGGTGCAATGATAGCCCTCAAAATAAAATGTGAAGTTGATATTCTTGGAAACTAAATCCAAAACAAATAGGACAATGCTTCAAATATAGAATAATTGAAAAAACTGAAATCTCCAACAGCGTTTATATAATTCAAAATTTTAATTTATTAGCAAATAGCAACCATAATTTTTGTGACACAACTTAGATGGTTTTCTTGAATTCTGAAAATATATTCTTGCATTTTTATAGATAAGTTTTAAGTCAAACAGAGATCGAATAATTTGAGCATGCTTGTAAACAATATGATGTAAGTTTAACTTTAGTATAAATATTTTTACATTGTTAAACAATAGATGATTTTTACATTAATTGTTATAAAGTTAACAATTTTAGTTAATATGATATAAATACACGATAGTACAACTTTTTATATAGTTAGTGTATTTTCATTAAATTAATTTTATTTTTCAATAATTTCCATTAAACCCTGTTTTGTAGTTATTCAAAAGGCAAGATTAAACGTCAACTAAAAAAACCCTTGTATAAATAGTTTTACCACAAGAAATTTGTGTTGAAGAAAGTGCAAATGTAAATTTTATTAAATCCTCGTTATGGTGGACTCAGTCACTTGGACTAGGTGGCTTATTAACTTGTATTGGTTTTGTTGTTGGTCCTTCCATAAGTAACCACTCCATAAATCCCTATGACTTTCTACATTGTACAAGTTGGTATAATAAAAACGGATATTAATAAATATATATGAAATATGGAAAAAGAAATTTAACAAAATTAGGAAATAAGTTAGTTTATTAGTAATAAAAATGTAATATCAAAAATAAAATTAGTTTAGTTAGCAAGATAATTTTCAATGACAATTTATAGACATTTTTATTATATTTAATATTAATTGAATAAATTTGAGTATTAGTTAAGAAATAAAGAATTAATTTAATTAGATAATTGATTAAAAATAGTAATTCAATCTAATATATAAACTCATAACACGTACGCCATAAAATGAAAAAAAATATGCAACTTACACAAATGAAAGTAAGGTCAAACTTTATTTTATTTTTAAGAAACATTGATTTAAGCTTATAATAATAATTAAAAGTTATTTTCTCCACTTTTACACAATAATAATTACAATAGTACTTCTTTTAACCATAACTAATTTTGGTGATATCTTTGGGACAATTTTGTTTTTGAACTAGTTTGGGAGGCACATTTAATTATCCAATAACATTGTAATACACAATACTAAGTCAATGGCCGGCAACATTTTGCTTATTATTTAGTGTTCCCAATACCAGAATAAAAATATGCAAAAAAAAAAAAAAGTATTAATGCAACCTTGTTATCTTTTACCTTGTTTGATATTTTTCAATAGAAGAGAAGAAAATTTTGCTTCCTTTTTTCAGTTTTATAAAAATATATAAAAATGTATAGTAAGAATCGGAAAAATTCTACAACTATTCCTTCCTCTTTCTTGACATATGAAGGTAGAACCTTCTTCCTTTCCTTTTCACTGGAATACTTGGCACGCCAAAAATTCCAAAAGAAAACTGAATTTCCATATAAAGAAGTTGTCAAAGTCCTTTAATTTTTGGTTTGAAATGGCTCCCACATACCACATCTCAAAAGGTCCCCACTTGATTCATTCAACGTCTCAATTCAAACAGTGCCTATAATAAATTAATAAATAAATAACAATAACTAAATAATTAATAAACAAACAGAACAAGAGCGCATCACCAACCCCAAAAAGCACGTTCACTCTGGATTTTGCTGTGCAAACTGTGATTTCTCTGCACTTTCCACCCTCCGAATTTGACCTTTCTCGACGCGATTTTGCATTATCAAGTGCTTCTTGAAACCATCCCTCTTCTCCCACTCTCTTGGGCTCTTAAAATCGCTCTTTTTTCCCGAGTCTTTCTGAACATTCAGTTTATTCCTCCAGGTACCCTCTTGCTTTTTCCTCTACAAGTTTCAATTTTGATGATTCTGTTGCTTAGGGATCCCCTTTAATCCTCCTGGGTCTTGCGAGATTTTTGTATCTTGTTGGGTTTTATGCGTTTCTTGGAATTATCTTGTGGTCAACTTCAGTTCAAATTTCTCTCTTGATATGGGATTTTCTGCTATCCTTGAAAATCTTGTGTTTCTTTATCTTTCTATAGTGAGGCTTCTGCAAAATGTTCTTTCATTTTTTGAGCAACAAAGAGCAGTTCGTGTGTTGATTTATTCAGCCTCTTGGTTATCAACTTTGACGAACTATTGTGAAATATTTTATGCCTTTTTATTTTTTCAATTTCTTTGATGGTCCTTGTCAATGGTTGGTGATTATTTTTTTCTTTATGTTGCTTTACTTATATTCTATCTACACTAGTTAATCTTTTTTTCCCTTGCCCTTCTTGTTAACATGTAGTTTTTGTCAAGCTATGAATATGGTTTCTTATGGCTTTTGTTATAAGTGGATTAAGATTAAGACTTTGATATTTGGGTTACTTTTGCTTATTATTTTGCATTAATAGTGACTGAATTGCACTTGCTTACCTTTGCAGGGAGAAATTAGTTTGTTTTCAGGTCACACAGGATTGTTGATTCTTTTTTTCGTTGAGCACTTTACTTTAATCTGCCTCTGACTCTATTCTGCTAGAAGAGAGAGAATGTTGGGTTCAAAGAAATCTCCTTTGAAGGTTGCAAAAACTAGATCTGTTGATCCAGTCTATCCTGTTAAATCTGGGATGAACCCATTTGATTCTGATGATGAGGCAACGGATAACAAGTATAACTCCTCTAGGAAGACGTCTTCAGAACGCGCACTTGTTACACTGGAAGTTAACACCAACCCTTTTGATGATGACATTGATGCTAAAAAGATATCTTCATCAACTTCGTATGCCTTTCAATCAGCCGACAGGAACAGGTATAAGAATGATTTTCGTGATTCTGGTGGATTAGAGAATCAATCAGTGCAAGAATTGGAGAATTATGCTGTCTACAAGGCTGAAGAGACTACAAAATCAGTCAACAATTGTTTGAAGATAGCAGAGAACATAAGAGAGGATGCTACCAAGACTTTAGTCACCCTTCATCAACAGGGTGAGCAAATTACCAGGAGTCACCATGTTGCTGCTGACATTGATCATGATTTGAGTCGGGTATCAATCTCATCAATTATCACATTTGTTTCAGTGCTCCTTTATGGGTGGCTTCTTCATGTTGTTTGACCTTTGTGAAAACATTCTGATGCTTCATAACATTCTTTTATCATGAATCTCATTCAAATTGGTATTCTGAAGTAGAATTGACTAAATTTCAACTGTCTGGTTAATGCTTGCAGGGAGAAAAGCTCTTGGGAAGCCTTGGTGGTCTCTTCTCTAAAACTTGGAAACCAAAGAAGACACGTGCAATAACAGGCCCTGTTATTGTTGGAGGTTAATATCTTCTTTGCATGTGATTTCTTTTCTAATTTTAATTTTCTTGGGTTTTATCATTGGCATAATGTTTTTCATGATGTGCAGATGACCCGGTCAGGAGAAACGGCAACCACTTGGAGCAGAGAGAGAAGTTGGGATTGACTTCTGCACCACCCAAAGGGCAGTCCAAGCTGCGGAACCCACCTCAGGAACCAACAAATGCACTTGAAAAAGTTGAGGTTCGTATCGATTGGGTGAAAGATTAAACTGTTGTTTTTAAAGCTTTAGTTTCTTTCTGATTTCAATGTGATCAAGCTGTATTGGTGATTTTTTACTGAAGTTTTAGCGTGTCTGATAGACAGGATAAGAGGATACAATAGGATAAATTTTCCTGTCCTATCTTATTTCTGGTGTTTATTCAACCATATGATATGATAAGTCTATTTATAGGCTTATCCTGTCTTACTATGTCATACCAAATTTATCTTATGAGAGAAAAAGTCTGGGTTAAAAATAGATAAGATAGGATAAGAGAATATATACAATTTGCTATTTTGGTATGCATCAAATGTAAAATAAGATAAAATCATATATTCTCTTATTATGTTTTTATCCAATTTCCATGTCTTATCCTGTACACTAAATGAGCTTAGGTCCAATCATTAATACTCAAGTCATTGTTGGGGTTTCCTCTTTAACTTGCATGGGACTATTTATGGACAGAAACCCATGACAATATTATAATTGTTGTTAATATTGAATTCAGCTACTAAATAAGATTGTCCTGAAACAGGTGGAAAAAGTGAAGCAAGATGATGCACTGTCAGATTTAAGTGATCTGTTGGGAGAGCTTAAAGAGATGGCTGTTGACATGGGATCCGAAATTGAGAGGTTAGTAAATTGCATTATACATTGCTTCTCTGATTTTTACTTTCAAAGTCATTCATTAATTAATAGCTATTTGGGCAAATGTTGCAGGCACAACAAAGCCCTCAATCATCTTTACGATGATGTGGATGAGTTGAATTTCCGAATGAAAGGTGCTAATCAACGTGGCCGTCGTTTGCTTGGAAAATAGGATTGATTTCAATATTTGTATTCTTCTCATCATTGTTTTCTTCTATAATGGATCCCATCATCTGGATTAAACACAATCATTTCATACTTCTGATTCTCTTTACCGATTTAGATACTCTTAAGTTGAAAAGTAATATAGTTTTCTCATATTAGAGAGATAAACACACATTTTTTATTTAATGAAGACTCATTACAATTAGCTATAAGATTTATTCATTAAATTTAATCAAAAATTATATCTTTATCTCTCAAATATCATCTTGTCCTGTTATTCAACAACAGAAAAAAAAAATCATTTCTTTTAACCAATTACGTATTATTCATTGAACATTTCTATACGATTACGGAAGTGTAGTGTTGAGCGACTAATATTTCAACTTCATATTTTCTCCAAAGTGTTAAATGATTAATATATTCCCCTCTATGTTTGAAAATTAAAAATGAGTTAAATGTTTTTAAAATTTTATTATCTTTTGACATCTTCACATGAAAGAGCAATAATCTTAAATTCTTAATTATTTTTTACTGAAATATTAAAATTATTATCTAAAATTGTATATTTATAAAGAACTAGTTTAAGTTGATTCTCATCAATTATGGTTAGAATCTTTAATTCTAAATAATTTTATAATTCTTACATTATCAATTATTATTCTTAATCTTGTTTATTAATCTACTTTTATTTTTAATACTACTGCATGATATATGCTCACCCACATGGCAAAGGCAGTTCCTACTGGATAAAACTATTTTTTGAAGTATAAATACTATTTTCATATTTAATGCAATTTGAAAAACATGAATTCAAAAGTTAATAGAAGTTGAAAAGAAAATGCTATTAATCAAGGAAAAGTAACAAAAAAAATAAATAATTTGTTCTCAAGAGATTATATTTTGAGTAAATACATAATGTCAAGTTCAATTTTTTAATTAGAATAGAAAAGTAAATTTTAACTTAAAATAGTGAAGGGAATTTTTTTACTTTATTTAATTTTTACAATAAAAAATTATGCACTTAATGAGATTAATGATGGAAATTTTTGTTTTAGTGGAGAGGTGTATGAATTGTTTTCTACACATCACATGTTTGGGCTAACTTTAATGTTCCACTTGTAACTATCAAGGTTTAATTTTTAATCTTATCTGATTCTTATTTTTCACTCTATTTATTCTTCCTCTATATTCAATTTATTTTTGTAATTCTTTTATGCTAGTAGTTTCGATTTTTCACTTAGCATGGAGCATAGTAATAACTTTGTTAGTTTTTATGATAAAAGTAAAAAATAGAGAAACAAAAATGTTTAAAATTATAAGAAAAAAAAAACTCATTTTCAATAATACATTTATAAACCAATATTTTAATAAACTTATAAAAAGTAAAAACTAGTTAGTATAAATATAATAAATTAAAATAAATAAAAATAATTATAAAAGTATATTGTCTCTTCTTTGTTTTAAAAACTATAAATTATTTTTTTTATAATTTAAATTTGTTAACAAAAATAAGTTTATTATCAATAAGAATGTTTATCTTTTAAAGATATTATATATTTTAAATAATAATTTTGAAGTTAACATATATTTTTTTTTCTTGTCTGATTTAAATTAGATCTATCTCATATTGTGCACATTCAGACCTTACTTGAAAAAATTTAAATCTAAGACCTTACTTATATAATATCAAGTCATTTGTTACTCATATCAACTCTGTTGATAAAAATAACATATATTTAAATAAACATATATGTAACTATTTAGTTAAATTTATAAAAATATACTAAAATTAAACATAAAAAGTTAAATGCACATTCTAGATTAAAATTTTAAAATTAAAATTTTAATTTATTTATTTTCATTATAATAAAAAAATATAAAATAGGAAAGTTAACGATTATTTTAATGAATATTTTACTTTTAAAAATTTTTAGATAATGAATTATTTCGATTTATTTGATTAATAACACCGTTCTTATAATATAAATCTTTTAAATGGCGGAGAAAGTTATCTTTTAATTTTTTTGGGGTCAATATTAGTTATATTTACATATATAGATTGTTATATGAATGGCGGTGAAAGTTAAACGGCATTTTATAAAAGGTTAAATACAACTGTGAATTGTAAATGGGCTTGGCATACTCAGGCTGTAACAGGGCCCATATATTCAGATTATATAAGAAAGATCCCGCGACACGTCTTTTGTAAAAGATCCACAAGAACGTCATGCTTTAAGAGAGAAAGATCAATCTCAGCCACACACAAAGGTTTGAGTTTCGATTGTTGTATCTATGTTTAGACGTGATTTCTTGTGATCTTTCAGAACCCTCTTTCTCTCACTTTCATCTTTAAATTTCTTTGTAATTGATTTTATAAAATTGGTGCCTTCTTTAAGCAAATTCACACTATCCCAAAACCGTGTTTGTCACGAATGTTTTGCGGAAGTCTATTTGTTTGCAACATTAATCGAGTCCCATTCAGTTAAACGGGTCCCTGTTACTTGACGACTAATCTCATTCTTGATTTTTCAAGAAAATCTATTCGTTTGCGACGGTAATTGAGTCCCGTTCAGTTAAACGGTCCCTGTTACTTGAAGGCTAATCTCATTCTTGATTTTTCAAGAAAGTCTATTCGTTTGTGACAGTAATTGAGTCCCATTCAGTTAAACGGACCCTGTTATTTGACGGATTTTTAAGAATATTCAATCTCTAACTACGATGACCCTAAGTTCTATATTCCTAATGACGCTATACAACTATGACATGAATCTAAGCATGATTTTGAATTCTTTAAGAGTTCAAACCTGATCCTGTTGTTTATGATTTACAATGTTAAATCAAGATGGCTTGGTTGACCCTTAATTTCAGCATGACTCTTTATTTTGAATTTTTTATGACATCAAATTTGACCTTCTTAAGTGTTATTGGTTAACGACGTAAAATCAAGATAGCTTGTTTGACTCTGATGACACTGTACAAATTACAATATGGATATTTGTTTTGAATTCTTTGTGAATTCAAATTGACCCAAAGTGCAGTTTTCAGTTGACAATGTTAAACCAAGATAACGTGCTTGATTCTGTACAATTGCAGGACAAATTTTTATTTAAATTTTTTGAATTCTTTCTGAATTCAAAATGATCCTTAGTGACCTTATGCAATTGCAATATGAATGATTTACTATGTAAATTTTATGGATGAAATATTTGAGCTATGATGACCCTAAAACGAAGAAAATTGAAGAGTTAAAACTTTATTTGTGAGTCAACTCAAAATGATAAAGATGCCTCTCAAAACAGTGTTTGGCAATGATGTTTTTTTGCTTGCAATAGTAATGAGGTTTTCTCTAAACGATGATGATATTGGACAAAGTTCCATGCTGCTAAATGCCCCTTGTAGGGTTTGTATTTAACTGCTAATCTCATTCTTGATTTCAACAAAGTTCAATCTTGAGAAACTACAATGTCCCATCCTAAATTTCATTGCAAAATGAATTCGTGGTGAGTTCAAAAAACTGCAATGACCCTAAATTTCTGATGGAAACAATTAAATATGTTGATGAATGATCTTTGTGAGGGAATTATTTAAGATTTATATATATAAATCTGACGTTGTTTTTATCCTAGTGATTATACAATCATGAGGAGACAATTTTTAATCTCAGTGGTTAAAAAAATGCACCCTCTAGCATGGGTTCTTGTGGAGCTACTTGTTGATCTGCCCTGGTAGATGGCCAGTGCAGAGAATGAACTAGACTATGTAGCTGCACAGAGTCAGCTAGCTGGACAGTGATCACTATGGTTTTGTGAACTTGGGAGGCTTAAACAGAAGATTGTTTACTTATGTTTTCTCTATGAACTTGGAGAGCTTTACTTAATGAGCGGGAATCGTCGACCTATTTATTCAAATAGGTATAATCCATTTCAGAAATTCAAAAAATAAAAGATTTTGAGATAATAACTATAAATATATGAAAAAAAAAACAAAAAAAAGAAAAGGTTTACACCGTATGATGCCATTATATTCGCTAAAACAACAATGTTGTGTGCTGCTTCCCTCACCACCATGTGGTGCAAAGTATTGAGTAGATATACAGTGAAATTCATTTATGAATTATCTCAGGGAACACATCTTACTCTTCTAATTTTTTATGATAATGAGCAGCTTTTTTTGGGCAATATTTTGTGTAGGTCTTAACATCCCTGACTTAACATTCCATTATTTTTCGCATATTACATGGAAAAGAACTGTATCAATAATTATTTATTCGAAGATGGTCTAGAGGGGTCAGAGCCCAAACGAAAGACAAACTAAGTTAAGAGTATTAATCCAAGGGGTGGAAGCCCCACTAAAAACAGCATACAAAAGTCTACGAAGTTCTCTATCGAAACTCTTATTGCCCCATAAATGTTGTCAAGCATTGCTTCTCAAGTACAGGTACAAATTATTCTCCAATCTCTTTCTCCAGACTGGGATTTTGCTCAGAACAACAGTTTTTTATCGGGGAAGGATGAACACTAAACGAATCACTGCTTAGAATAGAACAATTTCAATTTGGGTGTGAGGCGACTAAAATAATGACTGAAATTATTAGAATCTATGGGGACTACCATTATATGCTTAGGCTACAACTTGTCTGCCTTTCTTATAATCAGAATGCAGTGCAATCTTGAATTACATGGAGCATCATGCTTGCTTCTATGTTTATGGATGTTGTGGAATATTGACTGGATATCATAGGTTGTAGATTTTCTTGGAGGAATAAAAGTGAAATTCATCCCGAAAGTAAGGTATATATTTGAACCGCCTCAAAAGAGGATACCATGTCCTTGATGATAGTTGGCACACAAACGTACCATTCCATTGTTTTGCATGTCCTCGGGGAAAATAGCATTGTAATGAAACTCATGGATATATAATGATAGGCCAGTGAAGATACTACTGTTAGGAGGTATAATGACATACATCAACCTATGAACACAGAACACTATCTTCTGTGGAGCACAGAGGCAAGGTAGAATTTCTTTTTATGCCACAATAATTCTAGAAGGAGCTATCAATGTTGCATCAACTGTAGCCCTTGCTATGGATGATGTTAACTTCCCTCTTGTTACCAGCACATAACAAAAAGCAAAATATATTTCTATTCTCTTATGCTTACATCATCTTGAATGCAAGACCTTTTTTCCTGTAAACTAACTTGATGTGCAGATTTTATGTAAGAATTTGCAAACTAGATTTCTTTTCTTCCAATATATATATTGTAACAGGAAAGGAAGAAAATGCATGTTATTATGGCTAGTATGAAAAACCCTACGTTGTTGAAGATGCGTGTTCCTTAACAGTGGATAACAAGGATGCATGTACTGTGTCGTAAATATCAGTGATGTTGGCTCAAGAGGGATTATATCACTGTCATAACAATAGTCACATTTCTCCTATACTGCAAAGGAAGTATTAATAGGATTGCAACACAACCTAGATCCGAAGTGAAACATGATTCTTGAGAATTTTAAAAGGAACTCAGGCAATGTAATATTACTTTTGGTGAAAACTTTTCAATTCTTAGTCTCTTATGGTTCTGGAGTGTGATACATATGTTCTTTCTCAACTTGCAGTGATCCCATCCCTATAAATAAAGAAGCAGAATGGGTGGTCTTGTGGCCGGCTGGACATGTTAACATCAAACCAATGTTATATATGATTTCGGCTAGATTTAAAAAGGACAGAAAATTGAATGGTTAGTGTAATGGTAAGGCTGACTCAAAGCATAGGAATAGTAAAACTAGTATCTCCAAAAATCTTCTTGTTGAAAGTGGAGTCACTTGACACTGATAATGCAATTGAGAAAGCAGGTAAGAACATGTGCAAAATAAATTCCAATACAGATCTCTTTTGTTGTGTCAGGTAGCTGATGATACTCAAATGATTTTAAGAACAATGGCCATATGGAGTGGAATTCATTTTAGAATCCCAATATAATGATATTGGCTGCTGACCTCACGCATGCTTCTTGCAATTCTTTAGACGTTCTGTTGCATTTAATTTTGAGTATTTTTCATTTATATTTTGTATGTTTTTTGCCATTCATTGATTTCTATATAAATCTATTACATCTGATTATTGTTCTATGAGAAAGCATCATGTAAAAGTTGTAAGAGTGTGGCAAAATACCTGGGCTTGTTGACACATTTAGCAACCTGGACTCTTAGGGCTGGAATATAGTCTTTGATCCAGTAAGTAACATTTGTTGAAGTGCATTAGGTTTTCATCGTTCAATCTTAAATTCATAAATTTTAATTATAGAACCAGAAAATATTTTTTGTGATGTTGTATTTAAATTCTATTCAGTAAAATTAAGTGGTTGCAAGTTTGTACATAATTCAGGTGAAATTTAAATAATTGGAGTCAACAATGTATATTATGCTTCTAGTAAGTGTCTTTCATATTAAATTATTATAAAGTTGGTTACAACTTTGTTGTGAATACAAACACATAGCTACTACGTACAATTTTAATGACAAAGCTTACATTTCCTAATACCTATTCTACAAGATTAATGAAGAAACCTTTTGACTAAAGTTTTCTATGTCCAGCACAAGCGGGAGCATCAAAGTTGGGAAATACAATAAATGCAATGGATAAAGGAGCTATGTATATTGGAGAATGTACATTAGTGTGTACTGGATCCAATGTTGGAATTTCTCCATCATTTGTCAATTTTAGTGGAATACCATTTAGCAACATGGTTTGGCTTCGGAGATGATGATCTTTTGGAGTTAAGTGGTACTCTTCCCTGAATGTGACATCTGATCCTTTCGTTCCAACCCAAGAAACTGCCCTCTTGAGATGACTGAAGAATGAATTTTCTGTACGAATGCCTTTAGCATTTTCATTTCCTCCATTACTCACAGGATCACGGTCATGAACCGTTAGTGTGAAATGAGTTTGATTGCTTAGGTTGATCACCAGTGATGTTATACCGTCCTGTGAAATTAAATTAAAAGGAATTATCGGAATGCTAAAAGCACAATTAAAAGTTGCAGCATATCATTCAAGTGCCTAACATCTGCTCAAAGTTAGATCTGACCCAATTTGAATAAATTTATTAATAAGAATAAGTAGTGATAGGATTAAAAAATAAATAATAAAATGAATTAATTTTTTTCTACAAGTTAAAACAACTTATTTTTCTTTATTTTGTTTTATAAGTTGTCCTTTTTAACTTCTTTAAAACTTACAGAGTATCAATTGTTTTTTAACTTATAAAAAAATTATTTGTTTTTTATATTCATTTTCCTCTCCTACAAGAACTTATTTAAAAACCTACAAACTAGGCCAATGTCACCTAAAGTCCTTATAAATTGCACTTCTTTTGTTTAAGCCCTTGTAAATTCCAGTTCAATAAAAAGAATTGCTAGGAAAGATTCATTTTAGGTGTTCTTTCCCAATTGAAAGTATGTTATTGCTATGCTTATTTAGGAATATATTAACATCAGCCTTTAGAGTTAATTTTATTCAATTAAGATTTATGTTTTTTTTTTATTGAAATAGAAAGTATTTATTACAAACATTTTCTTTATTACAAATTTACTACTTTTAGATGATTAAAATTAACCCTAAAGAAGACTTGATGTTAACAAGACCGATGTATTTAACGATTTTATGGGGAGTGATTTTGGTTTTTTTTTTCCCTATCTTAAAGCATATGTTATGACAACGTACAGGCACCTAAATTGCGTTATGATATACTAATGGATCAGGTGTGAAATTTCCAACATGACCCCACAAGTATGGTAACGTTCAATTCATGGATGTTAATATCACCTTAGTTTTCCTATGAATCGAGCTGGAATTCAATCTAGCATAAACTTTTTGCATAATGATCAAACTTTTAAATCAGATACAGTATGTTGAACTTAATATAATGTTGTATCAACTTAAAATTTTAGAAGTTGGTAAGCAAGCATCAGATATAGAAGAATGGATCCTAAACTATTGTTGCCTTTTATAGTTTATCCTTCTAAAAGATGATAGCACACTTACTCTGCCTTTTGAACAATGGGCATAGATGCGTAAAGAAGGTGAAAAGACATCACTAGAAGCTGCAAGAACGCTTTTCCCCATTAGCCGCTGCCACAAAAGTGCACTATTCAAAAACACCACCACAACATAGGATTAGTTATGTTAAGCAATCTACATTATACATGAATATAGCTCTTCAACAATTTAGAGAGAAAAAAAAACTTCCTTTTCCCTACTTTTTACTTGTTTTCAAATTACACTTGCCTGTAGTAGTCAGGATTTGGAGTGAAAGTAGTGGTATTGAGAAGACCGTAGTTTCCTCCTATTAAGGTCTGTCTGCAATAAACCTTAGTGTTGTATCTGGATGCTATTCCAAGTTGATCTAAGTACCTGTAAGTCATTTAAATTTTAGCACTTAAAATTTTTTTAATGACTTTTCTTTGTAAAATAAAGTATTATAATAATTATTTCAGAACTTAAAAAGATGATCAATAAATGATGCAAGGAAGAATCAAGATTACCAAAAGCTATTTACAAATGTATTAGAAACATTACGACCACCACTGTTGAATGCCCCACCAGCTTCTCCTACCCATGCAGAAGACCAAGGACCATATTGTTTAATGGTTTCTGAAAGATTGCTAAAGATTGATTCTACCTTGCTCAAACGCTCAGGATCTAGAATCTTCATTTCAAGATGCTCGTCACTACCTGAAAAAAGAGAAGTTAACTTATAAACTAAATAGAAAGGGCAGACAACAGAATTTTCTCTACTAGTAAATGCAATATACAATATACAATCTTTGATAGAAGATGGATTTACTTTTTTCTTTTTAATTAGTATACCAGTTTCCATGCATGTTTTTTCAATCTGTAGAAAAGTTAGCATACATGGGAAAGATAATCAGAAAATAGAGAGAAACTGATAATGTAGTAGTTATCATTGCCTTTTGCAAGCTGACACATGTCCACATTGCCATTCATATTGTGTGTGTACCTCTTTTGGTAGCTAGAGAAATTATCGTGGACAAGAGGGGGCGAGAGGATCAGAGGTATCCGTATATAAATTAGCATCAACAACTGTCAAATATATTAACTCTCTGGGTCCAAATGATATGAGTTTTGTTAAGAGAGGCCTTTAAAAGTCTAGTTTATCATTTTTCTTGCACTCATTTGGTTTTTCATAAAATAAAGTATTACTTATCCCCTCAACTGATTGAAACTGATGCTTCTTCAACACTACATACAGGAAATTAGAAAAGAAACACAGCTATTAGGAGATAATACTTATCATATATAACTGCTTTCCTTTATATTCATTATCTAGATATGTTAGAATGTAAAATATACTCTAAGAATGACTATGGTAGAAACAATTAGGTAAGTGACGAGCAAACCTGGGCCCAGATTATATACGTGATGAGTCAGTGCGTTGATTATGCCTGGACCTGAAACCTGAAGAAGCTTATCAAACCACTGCTTATTGTAGAATCCTCCAGGTGCTATAAGTGCAGGTTTGAACTTGGATTTCTTGTATAATGAGCGTAAAATTTGTTTAAGCTTTATCAAGTCTTTGCCATATTGAGAAGCATCAACACTTGCTCCAATGCCCTTCCCACTCAACTCATTACCTATGGCAGCATGGGCAACAATAAGTTCCAATGAAATAAAATTGAAATATAACAAATAGTTTGTCTTTTGTCCTACCAAATTCCCATGAATCAATTTTGTACCCCTTTGAAACAGTGTAATTTATGAAATCATGAGCATTGGTAGGGTCCCAGTCTCCTCCCCAAACAGTATGCCTAGTCTGGTGCCTCCCTTGAAGCGCATTTAAACCAAATGTCACAATGGCCCTGCAAGTGTCAAAGCCCAACTAAGTTACGCCCTATATAAATCATCCCTTCCCCACCCTTTACAGCTTTCCTTCTAGCTGACACTACACAGATAGCAAGTTAAATCACTCACGTGCACACATAATAAAACAAATGAAAACTACTCATTGAAAATGAACGTGAACGAAAACTCAAAATCAGATCCTTTTTTCTTTTGTTGGGCTACATAAATGTTCGAGGGTAGGTTGCCTCATTACATGGTCAGAGAAATCTCAGCTAGGCTAACAACATTACTAACAAAGTTACAAATGACCAACCAATAGAAGAGGCATGACTAGAAGAAAGAGCGCCCAAGATTTTTAGTCAGTACATTTCAATCCTTCCAGCTTAGAGTGTGTTAAAGGGACAATTTAGTTGGAAAAGAAATTCCCATCAAGGGTGAGGAAACAACTCAGAATGCAAATAGCATCCTTCTATACCAAGAAAGGTATGTCTAATTGCTTATGTTGCTAGGACAGATTAACCTTCTAATCAGAAAGACGCTTTCCTTTTGGTTGCTATCATGGCGAAGAGAAAAACCAATAGCAAGTGACTTGTTAGATATTAATCTTATGACTTTGTCACAGACTTGCAGTGCCCTACATAAAATACCTAAATTCTAAGTTGAGAATATTTGCTTTAACTTCAAGGAAAAGGGGAGGGAGTTGGTGAAGAAACCAACAATTTCAATGTTAAAGTTCTCACCGTGTCTCATCAAAAAGATGATTCAGCTCATCCCACCTTTTCATGTGTAAACATCCCTTTGAAAATCCAAATAATCCACCTTTCGTCTTTTGAAATGGTTGACAAGGGGACTTCAAACTTCCTACCTCATACACCACTTGGTCTTGCAAAGAACCTCCAACCCTTATCCTCAAAGGCTTGAGAGCTATCAAGCAACCATTAAGCAAAATAATGCATTCACGGTCATAAATACACGAACACAATATTATCAATAAAACAAAATGTATGAAGCTTAAGGAAGCAGCAACAGTAGGATTCGATCACAGTGACTGATTTTCTAATCATATGGACATACATAATGCAAATATACAGACCTTGGATTGCCTTGGCAAGTAAAGGATTAGACAAGTCCTGAAAAACCAATTCACATTGCATAATGACTAAAACTGCTTAAAAGCTGTCTACAGTTTTAAATGAGAGATAGGGGATGCGAAGTGTATATAAATTCTCTCTACTTGTTTCATGTTATATACAAATGAGTACCAAAAAACGTACCAAATTTACTACAGATGAATTCCCCCAGGGGCAATAGTTGTAATCACATTTATCATCAGGCCACCAATCAATAGTAGCACAGACAAAGTTATCATCAGTTTCAGCAATTGCTTGAGTTCCATCTACTAGAATCGAACCATGTTCAACATCTTGAGCTAATGTTATACGAAGAGAACCCAGAAAGAGAAACAAGGCAAGGTGGATTCCCATTAGTAGATCAATTACGACAGCATTCAAGCTCAACTCAACTCAACCAAATTAACTGCAGTAAAAAATAAAAACTGTTAAGTTGTGTTTGATCTTTTTACTATTTTCATATCCAGACAACTTGTTTTCACTAATAATCATAAAAATATCACCTTGTTTCCATTTTGTATTTTGTTTTCAAGATTTTGTGAAGAAAAAGGTCAAAACAAGCAACGTTTTTGTAACTATAAGTAAAATTAGGAGGAGAAAATGAAAATAGAAAACAAATCAAACACCCTGTAATTTCTAGACAGATCTTCTGAAGCTACATAATTGCAATTTTCTGTATGACAGCTGTTCGAAGATAAGCTTTTTTAACTGAAGTAATACTACCTAATGATTAAAATCACAAAATAAAAAACTTGAAAGGAGAACGAATTTTGAGATTGCCTTATCTTAATGAAAATGGAATATACAATACCCGTTATTTTTTGAAAAATTATTAAATAAAAAGCATAATGAATAAAGATCGAAATTCCAAAGTAGTTTTATTGACATTCAAGGCCAAACGAGAGATCCTCCCTTCTATAGATATAGTTACCACCATCATATCCATTTTGTTACATCTTGATATGGTTCAAGAAAAGTTTTTGAATGTTTGAATTATTTCATAAGTTTCGAAATGCTCGGGAAAACACATTTCTGAGTTTAGACACTAAAAAGCATTGAGCATAAACATAATAATAAAATTGAGAGTGCTTAGCATGATTAAAGAATAAACAAAAGTAGATTTAAAAGTATGATTTTTTACTACGCGCGAAAACTTTTACCATGCATTATTTAATCGTGGTTTTTTTTTATCTTTTCAGGCTCGAAGACACAAATTTACAATAGTAACAATGATTCATTTACGTTGTATACACTACACCAAATAGAAATTGTTTAACGGCTAATCATCCATTTTTATAACAAGGCACCTAACGTTAAACGAACGCCATCCACAATAAGTTCCTTAAAAATTGCATAATTTAAAAAGAGGAAATCGTGAATGGCAAAAACAGATCTAAAGACACACAATCTAACAGATCATATAAAATAATATACATTAACAATGAATATAAAAACTTGAGCTATTACATAAAACACATTTTCTCACAAACCCAGAAGAAAGGATCAAAATTGAAGAACACCCAGAAAGAGAAATCGTGAAAAACAACGAAACAGACTCACAAGACCAACCTTTAATGAAAAAAGTGAAGCTCAAGGGTGATTCTGAAGAGGCATGACACGAAGCTTCAATAATAATGAGGAGGGTGAGTTAACTGCCAAAGAAGGAGCACTTTCCTTGCCTCGTACTGTCCCAGAGATTTATGATTGCGAGACAGTCACATTGAAGGACAACATTGTCTTGATGTTAGTTTAGGAGTTGTTGGAGATGGCTCGTGGCACAACTCACACATTGTTACATTAACGTTATTTAGATGAAGGGGTTTTCTCATGAGATAATTGCTGCCTCCAAACATAGGTGTCGTTGTGGTGAAGTGGTTGAGGCTAAGCATCGTCTTAGCAAAGCAAAACAATTCGTGTAACCTCTGCAAGCAACTGTCAATTCCCTCTTGTATTGTTTTCTTCATTTGTAATGCCAAAACTATGTCATTAATATTTCTCATAAAAAAAAATAGACAAAGTATATTTAATGTCATTTTTAACTAAAATTAAAAAAATTCACATGATAAAAATCAGTATTATTGTTCGGTATATAAGTTATTGAAATTAAACATTAATTTTAATTAAAGAATAACACTAATAATTTTATAATAAAAAAATATTTTTGTCCATTTGCTGATTGTCTTGCCTTTGTGGAGAAGCTATACCTTCTTCCACCACATCCATATTCCACCGCATGGCACGACTTTTTTCTATTATATATATAAATAAAAGGATAGAATTAAGTTACATTAGTTATAATTTATTATTTTATTGATTATTAAATATAAGTTAAATAAAAAATTTAAATTGAATGTAAGAATTTTTAAATTTTATTTATGTAAAAAATATTTTTTAATATATATAAATATGTTTTTTTTTCCTTTTTTTTTCAATTGGTTGCTGGAGAAGAATGTTGTTGGTTTGGTTTGGAACTCCCGCAATTGGGCAAACGCGTACGTAAAAGGATTCGTCTTCATTCATTAAAAAAGTGAAAGGGAGCATCAATTGAATTTGAATCTAGATTTTGGTTGAACTTTGTTCCTCGAATACGCTCCCATGCTGTTACTGTTGTGAGTAATTTCGTGCAATTGAAGAAAATGTAGCATATTTGAAAAGTTTTGGTCAACTAATTATCGAAATTAAAAGTGCACGAACTTGGACTATAGTTCTATAATAATTGCTTCATGATTGATGCCTCCACCAGTAAGTCCTATTGTTTTCATAAAAAACCAAAAGAATAGGTGTGTCTTTTGGTAGCTTTTGATCTTAAACTAATTAGAATAAAGTAAAAAATAACATGTAAGTTCTCTTTTATATTCTGATATGATTAAGTACATGTTTAATAGCTTATTTACAAAATTATCTATTTTTGTTAGTTTTTTAAGAGAATTTTAAAAAAATTATTGTTAAAAAATAATTTACTTAAATGTAACAAGAGGTTGCAAAACAATTTCTGGGATTTGATTGATTTGGGGTCCATTGAGAGGCTTTATTTTAAGAGGTATCACTAAGTTTGAAGCAAGTCAAACATATATAAAAATGAGTTTCGTTCAAAATAGCTTTCAATTGCTATTTGTACAAGCAAGTTCTTCCTACCACTGCACATTCGTCTAAGATAAAAGTTGCTGTGGCTATTTCAATACCTTATTTGTCAATTTAAGAACAACATTTTTTTCTTTAATTCAGGGCAACACTTAGAACTATCAAGTTATCACTCAATTGGTCCACTTTCATACCATTCTTTTACTCTATTAATAAATGAAAGAGACTAATTTATCAATTGAACTATATGAAGGAGCCAATTTTGAACATATTTATTTATTTAAATGATAAAAAATAAAAATATTATTTTACCCTTTAACCTAACATTTTTCTCCCCATTTTGTATGTGAAACGTGCTTACATGCGTTATTTCCTTTAATTTGTAAACATGTTTAGCATAAGTTAACCAAAATATAACTTTTTTTTCTTTTTTTTTTTCCAATAATTTTTTGGAAGAAAAGGTTGTCGCATTATAAAGTTAGGACATTGTAAATCAAAGCTTGAAGTTGAAGTTAAATATGGCTTGGGAGCACTAATTGAATTAGAAGCACTACATCATCTTTAACTTTTTATAACTCCTTTATAATCCTGCTTTTTTTTAAATCATTGTGAAATGAAGCATAAATACTTCTAGCAGAATAAATATTATAGAATTTAATTAAATATATTGATGTATAAAAAAATTGTATAATATTATCATACCATGAACGATTATCTAATTAAAAATTCATCAATTTATATATAGCTAGTTTATTTAATTAATAGTATAATTTTTATAAAATTAATAATATATCAAAATCAAACTGTTTATTAAAAATTATTTTTGAACGATTCACCTTTAGCAATGGTTTTAAAATTAATGTTATCAAAGACTTATTAAACTCATTAAAGGGTATTTTAAAAAATAAGCTTTAATATTTTTTTTCCTTCTAATTTACATTATTTACAATTTTAGCTACTCAAATTTTTTATTCATTTAAGTTCATTTTATTCAAAATTAAGTAAATTTAGTCCTTTGCAAATTTTGATTTACTTAAAATTCATAATTTTTTATTTTTTACTCAAACTCTTTAACAATTAAATCAATTAAGCTATCTTTTACTTAAAATTTTTCTAACTAAAACATTTAACTACACCTAAAATAAAATTAAGAAAACTATTTTTTCTTGTTCAAATTCTATTTTCATATCTTATAAAATTATTCAATCTTTATTATATTATATTTTTTAAAAATTTAAAGTTATTTTATATCTGAAATCTATAACAAAATATCTACATTCAAATAAAAAAGAATAATTTAAGAATTTAAAGTAAAAAAAATTGGTAGAAGAACCAAATTATTTAATTTTAAAACTAAAGAGATTCAATTAGCTTAAAAATATTTGAAAGAACAAAACTATTATACACAATTAAAATTAAAGAGACTAGAAATAAAATTAAATATACAAAATAATACTCTTTATTAGTAATTTCCTATGAAACAACTAATAACCTTTTTTTAAAATAATAACACTCTTTAATAATACTTCTGTGAGGGAAAGGCTAAGAAAAAAAAAAATACAATCACATCAAGGTTAAATATTAAGTTTTTTTTATTATTATTACCAGATCAACAATGACAATTAGGATGACCATACAAATGAGTTTGAACACAAATCAACTCAAATATCATTCAACTTTTCTATTATTATTTAATGTAAAACCTCTTTATTTATACTTACCTTCAACATTTCCATCGCTAAATAACACAATATATATAAAATGATTTTGTATGATTGCTTCTTCATTTTGTTTCTGCTGCGATCCCATCGTTCTATCTTCTATCTTCCTACCACATCAACACCTGTAAGTTCTCACAGTCACAGGCTACACACTGAAATGCATTACTGTTTAGTTGTTAATATTATCGTGATTCCGAAAGAAAGCATGGCTTTTGTGAAAGGTTATACATTATATACATGGTGGAAAGTTATTTTGGTTCACTTTTCTTTCTAAAACTATTACATTTGTATTTGTATTGTTTCATCTTTTCGTAATTTGTAATTCATAATGATTTCTTCATGCTTTTGTTTCTTTGTAAATCCATTAAATAAAGGAGCAAGAACAATGGTTGAGCTGATATAGTACTTTAATTTGTGTGCTACGTCTTCCCAACTTTTCTCTTAATTTTGTTATATACCTTCCAATCAATCAAATTTGTGAAGTATATTTAGGTAATCAGGAGCACAGGTATCTCATGATTACTCATAATAGTACTCTTAATCCATACGTATATCTTCATTTTATTCATATTTACATAAGTCATTTTAAATGTCACTATAAAGTTTATTTTAATAGTAATTTAATTAAGAAATTATTTAATAAATTTTTAATGTATAAAAAATTTATATCATATATTTAACTATAAATTTTATTTAAATAAATTTAAAATATCATTTTAATAAATTATATAAGAAAGAGCTAAAAAAATTATAAGAATAATGAGCAATTTTTATAAACTTTCTATAATATAATTTAAATTTTACATGAAAAAAAGGGAATTGGTAATACTAATGAAGAGATTAAGCCATCTAATTAACCTAAAATACTAAACTAACACCTTAAATATTTGAGAAGAATATTTTTTCATAATACAGATGAGAGTATATTGTTAGAGAAATGAAGTTACCTTAACTAGGAATGATGTCTGAATTATAATCTTTTAGTTATAATAATTTTGTTTTTTTATTTATATTTTGTTTATTTTATTTTAAATTTTAAAATATAAAGTTATCATTGAATTTTATTCTATTATCTTGTATAAATTTTTAAATTTTTTTGTGAATACTTTTTTTATAGTTATAAAAGAGTTATTTTGTTATTTAAAATTTTACTTTTAAGATTATTATTTTTAAAATTTATCATTATTGATATTTATTAATTATTGATATTCAAATAAAAAAGTTTTTTTTAACACTATTTGATAAAAACATTATTTTAAAATTATTTAATATTATTAAATATTTGTCAATTTGATCTATACTATTCATAATTAAACAAATTTTTAAATTATTATTTAAAATAATTTATTATATACACATAATTATTTACAAAAATTTAAAATTTTATTCTTTAACTATTAACTTATATGTGTATTCATTCTAAAATAAAATAACTTTATATTGCATAAACTACTAATCTAATAAAAATAACATATTAAAAATAGTTATAATATTTTTTAACTCCTATACAAAGTTTATTTATTTATTTTAATATTTATAAATAAATTTTTAAAACAACATGTTATCAAAATAGTTATCTTTTATTCTACAATATTTTTTTATTTTTATATATAATATTATTCTTTAAATATCACTCTTTTTTTTTTTTATCTTAGTGTATATTATTATTATTATTAATTTACTATAATTTGACACATTTGAGTAAATTTCACAATAAATTTTGACCAATAAGATAAAAAAGAAAACTTTTTATTACTCTTTCAAATAAATAATAATATTTTTCATACTTAAAAGTTATTTTGTGTTCTTTTATTTTCATCTTTACCGATGAGTAAAATGTGAATATTTTTATTTGATTTTCAAATATTATTTTTATAATTAGCTGAAGTTATGATGATTTTATTCAAAGTTAATAAACTTTTTAAATGTAGTTTGTTATAAATCACCATAATTTTTTTAAATTTATTTATATATGGCGAGTTTGACGTTGCATGTTATTAAAAAGAAAGGTATTATAATCATAACTATCATTGATCTATATTATAATTAATTTAAAAGTCATATTAATTATGTATTTTATTTAGTGATAATATAAAAATGTTTACACTGACGACATATTAAAACTAAGTTCTTAAAAAATTAAAGTAAATAATTTACAGCATTATTGAATAATAAATAAATAATTTAAAAATAGAAATGTGTGAAAGAAAATAAAAATATAAAAAAATCAAAATAAAAAGTATCAAGAGCTAATAATTTAACATGTAAATAAAGTATATCTGTTGCCTATAAAAAAAAAAAATTTCTGTTACCATGTACCCAGAAAGAAAATTTTTTTGTAGAGTTAAAAATTTATACTATATTTAAAAATAAAAAAAGGATATGTTTGATTTCTCTTTTAAAAAGAGTTTTTTTTTTTGAGCTCAACAAAATTTCTAATTTGTTTAAAAAATAGCATTTAAACCAAAATTTGAAAAATATCATTGTAAATATTTCATTAGAAATATCTATCAAATTAAAACCTGAAATTCATTTATTTATTTTCCTGATAAAAACGGTTCATATTTGTTTCTTTATCATCGTGAATAAAACCAAAAAAAAAAAAAAAAAAACTGATTCAAGGTAAAGTTTCTGCACTGCACCGACCCAACTAACCAAAGGAAATAAAAAAAAGAAAAAGAAAAAGAAAAAGAAAAACTCTGCATGCTGTTCCTCAACTCACCTGTAAACCTCATTCCCTCCTTCCTTCTCAACTCTCTCTCTTTCTCTTCACTCTTTTTCTAATTTTCCTTCAAAACCCTAACAAAAAACGCACAACCCTCTCTCTTCCAATTCCACTCTGTTCCGCTCTCTCTTTCCAATTTCTTTCGTTTATTTCGCTCTCAATTTTCCACGGCTTTGCGAGGGAAATCGCTCTCCCTCAACTCTTGTTGCACACTGATACACTATTTCAGTTTAGCTTAGAATATCGTTCCCAATTGATACCCCTCTCTGTAGTTCAATGATTCTTGATTTCATTAGTCTCGTATTGTATCGTCCATGTGGGAATTTTGATGCAATACTATTATTAACTTCTTTAACATAAAATCACTAATTGCATTTGTCATTTCGTGATGGAGGACAATGAAGTAGTTGATGATCAGAACTCGGGATGGTTCCAAGTCAAGAAGGTTTTATTTAATTCTTTTTTAACACCGTTGATGCATTCTGTAATGGCCTTTTGATTTATACTTGATGAATGATGAGAGGTAAAATTGAAGACAAAATAAGGAAAAATGTGGACTTAGTCTATAGATATTTACTTATTCATTCACTATGGACAGATGAGTATTTTTGCATCCATATGTTTGCTTTGATCCTAGTTTGTAATTTGGGTGAGCTGATTCTTATGTATCATCTCCCCCTCTTTGGTTATATTTGAGTGTATTACAGATTACCTTTTTTTTTCTTCTTCTGCGTGGCTTGTGTTACTTACTTGATCTAATTATTTTGTTTCCTCTTTATCCAGAAGCACAGAAATACTTCAAAATTCTCTTTGCAGAGCTGGGTTGGAGGTTTATCGGGAAAAAATGCTTCTAACTCTATGCGCTCTCTGCATTCCGTGATTAAAACTGATGACAATTCACATAGCCAGCAGAAAAATCATCTTTCAAGGTCAGGGGAGATTTTTTCACAGAACCCTGTCCCTGGGAGTGTTGTAACTTCTCTTTCTGAATTAAATGAAAAAGAGGGCACGAACTTTCTTAATACAAGTGTAGTTAGACATAATACTGAAAGTCAAAAGTCAACTCCATTACTTACTACAGATTCTCAAGGTAAACTTGAAGAAGTTAGGAAATCACACAAAACTGATAAGCCCGACTTAGTGCAGAAAACGAGATGGGGTGATTTAGAGGAGGGGGGCTTGGCGCTGCCACATGAAAACATGATTGGAGTTGGAATCAGGTTTGGTAGTATTGGAGATGATAGTTTGGTTAGCTGTAGAAAGCATGAGAGTATTCCTGATACCTGTGATTCATGTCATGCCCAAGAAAAAGACTTGACAGCAACTACTATTGATGCACGGGTTGCTTCTCATCAGATTCCTACAGTGAAATGTGAGGATGAAACATTTGGGGAGAATGGTAAAGATGTTAAGAACATATCTTTGGAACATATTAAAAATCAAGAAATGAACACAGAAAGAATTGGGCCTGAAGGTGATATATTATATTGCGATAAGAAAAATGAAGTGAATAAAACAACTGATAGTGGTGTTAACAAAGATATTTTGTCTTCCAAAGATGCTGCAGTGGTTGCAAATCAATCTCACGCTTTTATCAATGTGGTAAGTGATATAAATATTTCTTTAGTGCCTGAACAAAATTGCAGTTTAAGCAAAGCAGTTAATGCCCAGGGTACTGAGTCACAAGTACCCAAAATTGTCAATGATTCTGTAGCTTCTGCTGAAGAGTTTAGCGATCAACAGGGTGTCAATGTGGAAAATATTGTTTCAAACCCTCATAATGTGAATGCTCTTGAAGAAGGTGATTCAAATGAAAGCAAAGAAAGGTTCAGGCAAAGGCTTTGGTGCTTTCTGTTTGAGAATCTTAATAGGTCTGTAGATGAACTTTATCTACTTTGTGAACTAGAATGTGATTTGGAGCAGATGAAAGAGGCAATTCTTGTTCTTGAGGAGTCCGCATCTGATTTTAGAGAGCTAATCATTAGAGTTGAGGAATTTGAAAAGGTTAAAAAATCTTCTCAAACAGTTGATGGAGTTCCTGTCATCTTGAAGAGTGATCACCGCAGGCCACATGCTCTCTCATGGGAGGTATGCTTGATTACATATTGTTGCAATTACTTTGCTTTCTCCTGTGGTTAGGTTGATATTTTGTGGAATACTACATGAATTTTATATGTTGTGCCTGACAACTGTGAATCAACTGCCAAAGAAAAATTAATTTATTCACTCATGAGTAATGACAAATTCACTATTTTTTGAAAAGCAGGTGTTGGTTAAGCAAACGTATATGATAAATTGATAACCTGATAGGTCTTCCAAGTCTAAGATAGAATGACTTTTATCATTGAATACAAGAAGCAGTGTGAGTATAGTTAGCTGGTGCATTTATGCAGACTGGGGAATAATCATTCACTAAATGACATTATATATATTATATATACTCTATCTCTTTTATTTTTCTTCGTATTTTTTCTTGATTGAATGTGATTATGCTATAATTTGATGTAGAAGTCTTTATGTGTATCTGTTGATAGCAAACCATTAATAAAGCAAGTGTATGTTAAAAGGATTAGGAGAGGAGTAGGGGATCAGAACCCAACTAACTGAATTAGTTGGAGGTAGTTAGTGAGAAATTGTATATAAAAGGTAATATGATAGGAAAGAGGGCAAGGAAGGAACAGGATTATTGTAGGGTTTGGGAGAGTCCAGGGTCTCAAATACCCTGTGAACCTTGTAGCATTTTTCTGTCTCCTGGTTACCTTATATTTTTTTGGGGGTGGGGGAGGGGGGTGGTGGATACGATCAGTTTGTTTATCTATATTGATCCAGTTCTATCAGTAACTCTGCATAAATATACATATATTTGGGTGATTGCATGAATATTTTGAGCTTCTCCTTTTTCTGACAAATGTCAAGATGTTAGGATCAAATCAATTAAGTGTAAACTTAGACATATAACACTATGGAACAAGATCTCATCCACCAATGGAAATTATATGTTTATTTTACTTTTACGTCATGTCATCCGAATGGGGGTCACTTAAAAATTTATGCGTTTAAATGTTGTTGTAGTTTAGACTAACAGCCATCGGTTCATGATCATCTACTAGACTTAGACAAATATTTAAATGAAATGTAAGATTTAAACATGCAATCACTTATGGTCTATACCTGTTTGCTTGATTGATTTCTGGTTTCAAAGATTCAGGTCCACTGACTTCATGTAAGAGATTATGAATATTACTTGTTAGAATTCTGTACAGTTTGGTTCTTATGCTCAAGATCTTCAATTTCTCATTATTGATTCTAGGTCCGAAGGATGACAACCTCACCTCATAGGGCAGATATACTGTCTTCTTCTCTTGAGGCTTTTAGAAAGATTCAACATGAGCGTGCTAGCTTGCGATCTGGTAATACCACAGAAAATGCCATGTCTAAATGTTTGACTTCTGAACCTGTTGGCAATATGAACAAATCCAGGGTCAGCTGTGGAACACATGATGCCAAAGATTCATTGAGAAAGTCTAGAAAACATGTTGGATCTTCATACGCTAAACAAGGAAACTTGAATGAAAAAAAACAAAATATAGAAGGGGGGAAACCCTGTGATGCCATCACAATGCAGAATGGATGTAACGCACCAGAGAGCATATTAACTTCAGAAGTTAATTTATCTAAATTACCTCCCTTGGAAAATTCTGCTTTAGCTACTACCAAGGGTAAAAGAGATCACCTTGGTTCTGGATCTGAGAAGATACTTTCTAAGAAAGATAAAGCACCAACAGAAGTTGTTAATGAGAAAAACCCCGGACCCACAGATAATCTTAGGAGGCAAATGCCACTGCCTGAAAAAGATAAGGAAAAGCGGAGTACCGCACCAGGAAAGTCTTTGAATGCTTGGAAAGAGAAGAGGAACTGGGAGGACATACTTTCATCTCCATTTCGTGGCTCTTCCCGCATGCCATATTCACCAAGCCTGAACAGGAAAAGTGCTGAGCGTGTACGTACTCTGCATGATAAACTAATGTCTCCTGACAAAAAGAAGAAAACAACTTCAGACTTAAAAAAGGAAGCAGAAGAAAAGCATGCTCGTGCTATGAGAATCAGAAATGAGTTAGAGAATGAGAGAGTCCAAAAGCTTCAACGTACATCAGAAAAATTAAATCGTGTTAATGAATGGCATGCTGTTCGCCATATGAAGTTACGAGAAGGCATGTATGCACGGCATCAACGCAGTGAATCTCGTCATGAAGCTTTTCTAGCTCAAGTGGTGAAGAGAGCTGGTGATGAAAGTAGCAAAGTAAATGAGGTTCGGTTCATTACTTCCTTGAATGAAGAAAATAAAAAGTTGATGTTGCGTCAGAAACTTCATGAGTCAGAGTTGAGGAGAGCTGAAAAGCTTCAAGTGCTAAAATCTAAGCAAAAGGAGGATTTGGCAAGAGAAGAAGCTGTTCTAGAGCGCCGAAAACTCATTGAGGCTGAAAAGTTACAGCGTCTTGCTGAGATTCAGAGGAGAAAGGAGGAAGCTCTAGTTAGAAGGGAAGAGGAAAGAAAAGCATCAAGTGCAGCACGGGAAGCAAGAGCTATCGAACAGCTTCGAAGAAAGGAAGAAAGAGCCAAAGCACAACAAGAGGAAGCTGAACTTTTGGCCCAGAAATTGGCAGAGAGACTTAATGAAAGTGAACAACGTCGTAAGGTTTACCTGGAGCAAATTCGGGAGAGAGCAAATTTGAGGGATCAAGCATCCCCTTTGCTACGTAGATCTTTAAATAAAGATGGGCAAGGTAGATCTACACCTACAAACAGTAGTGATGATTCTCAAACAAACATTGCCTCTGGCATTGGTTCCAGTCTTGGAATAGGCAATATCACATTGCAACACTCAATAAAGAGAAGAATTAAGAGAATTCGACAAAAGCTTATGGCCTTAAAATATGAGTTTCTTGAGCCCCCTCTTGGTGGGGAAAGTGCTGGCCTGGGATATAGAGTAGCTGTTGGTGCTGCTAGGGCAAAAATTGGCCGGTGGCTTCAAGAACTTCAAAGACTTAGGCAAGCAAGAAAAGAAGGGGCCGCAAGTATTGGGCTAATAATTTCTGAAATGATCAAGGTATTAATTTTTGTTTCTTGGAAATTATACCTCTCTCCTTATATATGAATAGGAGTTTTTAATGTTGCTTTGTGGGATAAATTTTTTTGTGGGCATTTTTTTGTCCCTGCACTTTGAATTATGAATCTTGTGCTGATTAAAATGAAACATCTAGTTATTACTGAACTCTTGTTTAGTTAGTCAATAAATATTTGTCTGGTAAAACTGTCGATTCTTGCTGTTGGTATTTGTTCTAGTTACTACTGAGCTTCACCGTGTCCTGTTCTTATTGGTTTTGTCTGATCCTAAATCATAGATCAGTAACTTTTGTGGACAACTGTCAACCAAATTCCATTTTCCTGACTAGATATTGAACTAAGTTCCTTTTCTTTAGGAATATTTACAGCTTAAATGTGTGCATTGCCCCTGCATATTGTGAAAATTATGGATAGTAAACTTTCAATTTTTAATTGCTTTTACTTATTTTTTAACTTGTGATTATGTTCAATTATTTATTATTTTCTAGTATTTGGAGGGAAAGGATCCTGAGTTACAAGCATCTCGTCAAGCTGGACTACTTGATTTCATTGCTTCTGCCTTGCCTGCATCTCACACGTCAAAACCTGAAGCATGCCAGGTTACGCTGCACTTGTTAAAACTTCTGAGAGTTGTGCTATCTGCACCTGCAAACAGGAGTTATTTCCTTGCACAGAATCTTTTACCCCCAATCATCCCAATGCTTTCAGCAGCTCTTGAGAATTATATAAAGATTGCAGCATCTTTAAGCGTTCCTGGCAACTTCAGTTTATCATCAAGTAAAGCATCCATTGAGAACTTTGAATCAATATCCGAAATATTAAATAATTTTTTGTGGACTGTTACAGCAATTTTTGGTCATATAAGCTCAGAAGAAAGACAACTTCAGATGTGGGATGGCTTGCTGGAGTTACTGATTTCCTATCAAGTGATTCATCGGTTAAGAGATCTTTTTGCACTTCATGATAGACCACAGATGGAAGGGTTGGCATTTCCTGCCCCTATTCTCTTAAGCATACATCTTTTAGTGGTTTTGACCTCCAGACCTGGAAGATTGAGTTATATTGACTGGGAATCTTCCCCTGTGGCAATGGAGCAGGAAATTGGCAGTGAAGGGGTGAAGTTTTCAGATTCTGCACATTTTGTAGTGAATAACACTCGGGGAGATTGTGGTCCCTTATCGGGGATCAATGGAAGCTCAGCTGTGCATTTACCTGATGTCCCTGAGGACAGACCATTGGATGAAATAAATAAGGTGAACAAGAATGATGAATCTATTTCCATTGACAAGGATTGTGAATTGAAGCATGATAGTCCTGTCAAATTAAAAAATGATGATATGGAAAAGATAGATGGTCTAGATGAATCTAAGGAAAATCAGAGTGGGGATATTGCTAATTCTTCTGTTCTCCAAAAGGATGAAAAACATACAGTCATGAATGGTACAGTACATAAAAATGAAAAAGCGTCAAATTTGGCTCAGCCTGTTGTATTTCTTCTTTCGGCTATTTCTGAAACAGGACTTGTCAGTCTCCCTTCTCTTTTGACTGCTGTTCTTCTGCAGGCAAACAATAGATCCTCCTCTGAACAGGTAAGTTTTCTGCAACCTGCAAATTCATTCACTCAAGTTTTATTAGTTTATTTTGAGGATCTTTATTGTGAAAACAAAGTAGATTTCTGATATTGCAACTATTCTATTCTTAGTTTTTACTTTCTTTTTTCATTTTCTATTGCATGTTTGTGCATATTGTATTTAAAACATTTTGCTACAAAATAGTCTAGAAATTACCCGACTATTAACCTGAGAAGGATGTAACATTTTGTGATGGCATGGATCCGTTATGGTGCATCTCCAACCATTTTATTTGTGTAGTGATGTACCTGTCAAGAGTTTCTGTTGAATTTCAATTTTAGTGAACACGGAGCCTTTTTCTGGAGTGGGGAAAAAGAATAAATGTGATTAACTGTCTTAGACAAGTTGGCTTTTTTACCGTCTTTTCATAATATTTATTGGAATCTTTAAGTAAAATAATTTGCAAAGCAGTTACTTTTTTACTGGCTTCCTGTTTTCCTTTAATTTAATTTTAAAATTCCTTTATAATAACACTTTATCTTTGCAGTTCCCTGCAAGTTAATACATGATTGGAGAAGTTAAATATGGTCTAGTTTGGATAAACTTTTAGAGAAATTCTTATAGGAGAAAAAAATCAGTATAAAAAAATGAATAAATTTTTTTTCATAAGTTAAAAACAACTTATAAGAGAAATTTTATTAATTTTTTATATTGATTTTTTTTTTCCTATAACTTCTTTAGAAGTTTACTCAAATTGAGTCGATGAAATATATCTTGCTTTAAGGTTCAGGCGTTAATTAGCCTAGGAAATTATAGGTAATTATATGGTGAGATTTGAAATGGTTGCTAATTTTCATCAATTGTTTTGGTCCCTGGAAATGGATCATTGTGGGAGCTGGTGGCATATCAATTGCCCTGTGAACATAGACCTCTGAGTAATTGTCAACTATTACTATTATTTTATTATTAAACTGATGTTTTCTTTTTTGGGAAAATTTGGTCATTTACTATTTACAAGTCTAATTATTTCCTTCATATGCTTGGCTGTCCTTGTGATAAGTAAATCAGTGATTGTTAATACTTTTCTTGTGTTATACCCAAGTTGAATAACTTCATTTTCTTTTAGGCCTCATTTATCCTCCCATCTAATTTTGAAGAGGTTGCTGCTGGAGTACTGAAGGTGCTGAACAATGTAGCTCTTTTGGATCTTGTATTTTTGCAACGAATGCTGGTAAATTTGCTGATCCTCTTATATTAATTATCTATATTTAAAGCAGCTCTATTTTAAACTTGAGAATGCCTTATGTATTTAGGTTTGATTTAACATGATAATGTTTACAATTTATTTTTCTTGATACTGGTTCTTGCTGATATATTTCTATTTTCTTTGTGCCGTTTAACTCCCAGGCTAGGCCAGATCTGAAAATGGAAATTTTCCATTTGATGAGCTTCCTTCTTTCTCATTGTGCCAGCAAGTGGAAAGCTCCTAATGATCAGGTGAATCACCAACAACTCGATAAATTTCTGATAATGCTTTTGAATAATGAAATGCTTATCTTGGTAAACCTGGCTTGCCTAAATCTTTAAGGCCTTCCAAAGGAATGTCTATCTTCGACCTCACATTTCATTTCCTTGGTGTTCATGAGTGGTAGCTCTCCAAAAAAAAATGGTTAAACCATGCTAACCTGCAGAAATTTGAATTTGATAAAAGTACAACTACACTAATTTCCCCCATATTTTTTAAAATTACAATAGTGAGATACATGTAATGTCCAAAACTATAGGGAGTAGTGTACTTTCGTCTAAGCTCAAGGGAGGTCAAAATAATTTGCCTGACAAAATTAGAAAAAAAAAGTGCGAAGGTGTGCTGTGCATGGGAAGCATTTATAGTAGGGATGAATACACCTTGCCTTAATCTTCATGCGTTGTTGGTATTTAGATGCCTTTAATCAGTATGCTTGGGGGGGACAAAGCTACAGTTATTTAATCCCATGCATCTGCGCTTTTTTTTTTAAGGTTGGTTCACTGGTGCTTGAATCTCTTTCTCTTCTCGGCCACTTTGCATTGTTTCATCCTGGAAATCAAGCTGTCCTTCGATGGGGAAAGAGTCCCACCATCCTCCATAAGGTCAGAAACACTAAATATTTAAGAAATGTTGGTTTATTTGTTCAATTTTATTGAGATAATCTAATGTTAAGCTGTAAGAATACAGGTGTGCGATCTGCCATTCGTTTTCTTCAGCGACCCAGAATTGATGCCAATCCTGGCTGGCACATTAGTTGCTGCATGCTACGGGTGTGAGCAGAACAAGTTCGTTGTTCAGCAAGAACTGAGCGTTGACATGCTACTTTCCTTGCTAAGATCTTGTAGAAATGCTACACCTGCATCTCAGCTTAATTCAACCGTAGACAATTCCATAACAGATGAATCTAGTGAATGTAATCAATTAGGTACTGAAATTAGAAAGCCTCAAGTGGACATTCCTGGAAAATACAGCCGATCCAATAGCAAAGGCACTCGGGCTTCATTGGGGAAGAGTGGTTCTCTGGGAAATAGCATAAAAAATGGCAGGATAAGAAGCCTACGGGACAGCAAAACAACTAAGAATTCTGAAGAAGCGGCTCCTAAGCAAAATGAGACCTCACATTTAATGTTGCACTGTAGATTTCCTCAAAGCTTCATAGACAGAGTGGAGCAGTTCTTTTCAGTGGAAATTGCCATCGGGGTTGATGAAGTCTGAGGTTAAGCATCATGAACTCATTTTGATCGGTAAATCCAAGAACTTCACACGTGTCTAACTGAATATGTTCCATTAAACATATTTCACACTTCTAATACAACCACATGATCATCTGAAAAGCTGACGTGGCTCTGAAGATTAACCTCCGAGTTACACACTAAAGCTCGTTCCATAGTCAATGCTAAAATTATTGAACTTATGGGAAGTAATATATTCATACTACGGGTTAAGCCTTTTTGTAATGTACAAGTAATAGAAAGTTGCTGTTGATAATAGCCACCATTAATTAGCATTGCTGTAATTATAGCTGATATGGTCTTGGACTAACAATCTCCGGCTATCGATTTGTCTTGTGAACTTTAAACTTATATTTTGAATTATCAATCTTTATATACGGTGGATTTTTACAACGTTTTAATAAAAATACTTGAGAAATTTTACTATTTTCACGGTAGAGATGAAAAGCATAAAGATTAAAGTGATGCTTACGAGCTAGCTTGTTTGTATTCATGCAATTTATTTACAAGATAAATCTACCTCTTAGCCAGCCCGTAAACGTGCCATTATATCTTTCCATTACGGGGAATAAGGAATAACTGCAGTTCATGGGCTAAGTTTCTGTTCTGACTTCTGATCATTCACAATGTGTACGAAAGACTGAAAAGTTGATTTTGTGCCATAGATATCCTCATGGCTAGAAGGCAACCATGCAGCTAAAAGTGCTAACAAGTTGACAATAGAGGTTTATGTGCATGTGGGTGTAGTTTAAGGAAACGTTAAAGAAAGGCACGATACTTCGCATCCTCTGGAGGCTGCTTGTAAAGCTTTTTTTGCCTTGCTTGTGGGCACGTTGCTCTGGAGACTGGAGGCCGCTTTATGTACAAGGCCTGCTCTCCGTTCTTCATTACACATTCAAACGGGTGGAAATTAGAAGTTCAGAGAGAAAATCTTCTACACAGATTTCGATTTCAAGAAATGGAAAATAGATTCCACCAAAGAAGGTATTTAAATGTTTCTTACATCAACTTGGTTGTGAACGGTTTCACTTACAAAGCATCATTTTGGTCACTTGCCAATCATGTCATTGATTATTATTAACAGAAAATTACTGGTCTCGATTTTAGAGTGTCATTTTCTGATCCACAATCACCAAAACATCATGGGTGCAGTGGCAGTAGAAATGACATGGCTTGGAACTGGCTCCAAAGGACAACTTTTCATGTTGATCACATCGGAGATGATGAGTATATAGCTTCAGTTGCAGCTACAGCATTTGCCATTCACTCCCTAGAACAAATGGAATTGCATAATTTGCTAAAAATGAGAGGGCACCCTGAATCTTCAAGGACTCAAACTATGATAAGGAAAGAGAATAACATATCTAGGTGGCCAAGTTATGGTAACTACAACATTTACATACCTAAGTATATATGTCTATGGTCAAGTTTCATTATGTGCTGTTATAAAGAATTGCTATATTGCATGTTCCAGGGCAAACATCAATGAAAAAGTCATTTGAACAAGACACAAGGACAAAAGAAAATGCTTTTCCGGTTAGACGTTCAAGTAGTATATCATCATCTCCTGGGCCTGTACTCCCAGCAGGAAGGTATCAAAATCAGCAAGGGATTCCCTTACAGTACAAAAATGTCAAAACCAGACTAGAAACTTGGAAAGAGGCCAAGATAAAGATGATTCAAAAGCAGTAATTCTAATTGCTTGAGCTGTTTATTCAATGATTTTTTTTTTCTTTTTCTGTAAAGCTATAATTTAACGTGGTTGTTGAATGGGAATCTGGATTTAGTTTCCTCTTATCATTGCAAGAAAATCTTTCAGGTATGAGAAGATGAAGTCCAAAATTCTTTCCTGGGAGATTGTAAAAAAATTTCAGGCCAAACTCCAGGTGGGAAGGAAGAAAGTTTGCCTCAATTCCTGAAGTTCTAATTTTTAAATCTGTGAACATACTCAATCTCATTGCTGATGGAACTGCAAAGAATGGAATTGCAACACGACCAGAATAAGATAGCGAGGGAAGATATGATAGCAATGGAAGCCAAAAGAAGAAGAGAAGGATCTGAGGTGAAAGAGAGAGCAAACAAAAATCGAATAACAAGCAAGGTCCTTGTAAAATGTTTGTGTTTCGATTCTTAATTGGTTAGTGTTGGGCTCAAGATCTGGCCTGGAAATAACACTGCTAAACGTAATGCTTGCACAAACTAGTATTTCTTATCTAGAACTAAAATTGATTTCAATGAGATGACATCAAACCTCAGAGCTCAAACTGTTTTTCTTGACAAATGATGGCCTATTCAAGATGCTAGACAAAATGAACTATTTATCTAAATAAGGTAAACTAAAGATACACTAATTCATCAATTATAAGTTATAACCTTTCAAGGCCATTTGAGTCATCGTGTGCTTTGTAATAGGCTAATTATTTATTTATTTTAGCACCACTACATTATATTACCATACTCCTATCATGTCATCAGATCTAAGGTTTCTTTCTACGTGCAAGTATTGTTTACTTAATAGAAGGAACTAAATTTGTTAAGAAAATATTTGGTAGACATTCGTTATGATGTTTACACCTTGAGAGAGAGAAGAATAAAAAAGAAGGAAGTAATAGATGTAATACGAGAGGAAGAAAGAAATAAAGAAAAACGAGGATGTCAAAATGGGTGACGACATTGTTGTAATATCTAAAAATCAATAACAGATTTACAGGAGATCGCACACATACACAGGTATTAAAAACTAAAAAACATGCATTATCCTTATATAACTTTGGCACTTTTTCTAAATTGGTATCACGAAATTTATTTTATTATTCTGGTATTCTTTCGTTCAGAATTTGCTAATATACTGGTAATGATACAACCACATGGCAACATTTGTTAACGACTGATATTTTATAATGTAATGATTATTTTAATTACTTTTAAATGATATAGATATAAAGAAAAAATTGACACACGAGGAGCAAGAAGTAGAAAGAGAAGCTCCTCCACGCTGTGACTTGTATACTTCACATGTGAAAGTGGAGTCATGATGATGATGAACGAGTGTGTTTACTTTAGTACCAAAATGGAATCTAAAACAAGAAAAGAACCATCTATTCCCATGGACGCTCTAGACTATTCTATGAGTAGTCATGCATTCAAAATGATGATGATCTTTGGGTAATGTTCTTTGGGTAATGATGATCTATGAGTATTCTATGAATGCATGACTACTCATGGAATAGTAATAGTAAGCAGAAAAAATATGTAATGTTCTTTGGGTATTTTTCTCTAATGATAACACAAGTGTATTTCTAATACCTACTTTTAGTGCATCTCTCTTCTCTTTTCAACTTAAACGAAAAGATTTTCTCAAATTGTAAACCAAGCGAGAGAAAGAAAGATCCCAGAATCAAGCACATGAAAAAACCATAAATAAATACGCAAACAGCGCGCAAAGTTGAGCCACTTACACAACAATATAACGGTGTTAGCATATATATCAAAATAATTCAAAGCAGAAACGCTATATTAGTAACAACTAAAACCTTGACACATTCCAGTGAAATCGTTTCATTCACCAAATCTTAATGACACAAAGGAAAACAGTAAAACACAGAAAGCAACATTAACAACACGAGCTTAAGAAATCCAAGCCACAAGCAGTGACAGATTCACGAAGGCCAAATCTTAAGGCCAAAGTCACTTTCAGAACCAGGTCTTCCTTCTTGTTCCAAATATACATCATCACTCTATACACAACACAATTATATGTTGAAGTTGAATATGTAACATGCCTTAGGTGACTCAGCAAGCTGTGCTCACTTCTGCGGGTGTGGCTTCTCTAGGAGAATCAAGAGATATCACAGTTTCAAATGCACCAACTAGAGCCTTAACCTTGCTCTTCCTTAACTCAGCAAGCATGCTTGCAGTCTCTTCAATCACATTATTGTACAAACGTGGGTTATGTTTCTTCCCCTCCACATTTTGATGCCTCAAAACCACTTTCTCAGATCCTGATTTCGAACCCTCTATCTTGCTTCTTTCTCCACCAACTTTTCTACCAACAATTCTCCTTTTACTTCCTTCCACAACTTGGAGTCTGCCCACAACTTTCTCAGGCTTGATATTTGCAGCATTTACATCACCACTATCATCAACTTTATTATCTGTACCAGTCCCTTTTCTACTACTATTTATATCTCTCCTTTTGTCATCACCAAGAGTGCGTGCTGGCTTGAATTTGAGTCTCCTTGGGATGTTGTTGCTTTGAGGCTTAAGTTCAATCACCTTTCCTCTTCTAAAAGTTAACTTCCTGGCCGTAACAACCTTATTTGCAGCCCCAACTATGGTGCTCATTTTTGGCCTGATTTTGTATACCACCTTCACATTTTCGCCTTGATGACCATGTACTGTTTTGTAAGTTTTGTTGGACTTAGAAATAGCACCGTTTTGTTTTACAAGGGAAGAGTTTGATGAGGAAGCAAATGATGACACTGATGGTGATCGCGAAGCACGTGTTCTGTGAAGTATATTTGTCTTGCCTTTGTTCCCTGCCACAGATCTGAGGTCCTTCCTTGAAGATGCAGACACTCCAGACTTGCTAGTTTTCTTGCTGGTCTGCTTCAATCTTTTGTCCTCTGATGATGGAGGTGAGGGTGGAGACAATTCAGTTTCATCACAAGCCTGAGTTGGTTCCTCAGATGAATTTGCAGTAGGTTCAATGATGTGCAAAATTTTGTCTGGTAAATTGTCACTGGTGGCTAGTTCAGGTTTGACTTCTTGAACATTCTCATGATGTTTCAAAGAAGAGGTATCTACCTTTGTCAAGTTCTTGGCACTCTTGGAACTTAAGCTTGAAGGTTTCTTGACATTGTGTTTTGAAGACAAGGGAGGACTTAGAGGGGTTGATTTTTCCTTGGATACAGCTGAAGATGTCCTTGTCTGTTTGCTTCTGCTTTCAGTTTTCTTTCTGCTGCTTGATCCAGAAGGACTTTGGTTGTTCACTATTTCCCTTTTTGTTTGACTTTTAGAACATTCCTGCACTGGGAGAGATGACTCAGAATGTGCTTGCTTTAGGTCACTGTTGTTATGTTCCAAGCGAATATCTGTTTCTTCAAAAGGGGGTGAGATTTTCCCAGAAGGGATTGTTTTTTCATACGTTACTTCCTTGATGTAAACAGGACTGTTGGTCTTTTCAAATTTTGAAGCTTGAGAAGACTTTGAACTGCTTCCTGATTTCTTTGTCCCTGCCAAAGAAGTTACATTTTCTTCAGGAACTTTGATTCTACTTTCCCTTTTGGTAACCCTTTTCTTCGCTGGACTCCATGGTTTAGCTTCAACTTCATGTTGAATGCCATATTTGCACATGTCATGGCAGGAACCTTTTGGACCACTTAGATAACGTGAAAGAATCTTAGGTGGAACTTTTGTGATGGTTAACCTCTCTTTAGGATTTGCTTTCTCATCAACATCTTCAGGCTCAATTTTCTCAAACTTCAACTGGTTAATTGTACTTTCTTCTGCCATCTTTGGTCAAGGATGAAGCTACAATTTCAGAGACCCCTGCAATAATAAATAAGAATCCTTTCAGATATGTGGAGGCTATCAAAGCAACATGAGATATGCACAACTTTTCTTCTCGAATCTAATTCATTGGAATTGTTCAAAGCTTCTAATTTCATTGATTGATGGTAACACTACTTGTTAGTGCATGAAAACATTTCTAACATGTGAACTACAAACTTGAATATGCAGCAATAGGATAAAGCGTTGAGTGGATCACTAATTATGTAGAATGAATGCATATAATCAAAATATTTGCAATCATGTGCATTTCTTTACACAAAAAGACTCAGGGTATAAGTAAATTCCTTTAGATGGAGATTTTACAGGGTTAAAATAGGGGCAAAGAAACTCTTTAGTATGTTATTCTAATCAAACAAGCCGAAGATAGTGACATTGGTTGGCTCATTTTGCAAAGTGCTTTGTGATTATGAAACAAAATTTAAGGAACATAACATGAAGGATTTCACCAACGCTACCCGGAGATAGACAATAACCTTAAATCATAGTTTTTCAACAATTACTGCTTTTGTCCATTCAGTTTCATAATTAGAAGACTGCGGACAAATATATTATTTCTCTTGCAGCTCAATAATAAATTTTAAACCATAAAAGTATGTAAAATAAATTTCACTATTGATACACAAGCAATTATTAGATTGATTCATGTTTGAAGAAAAGTACAAACCTAGGACACATAATCATTCATATGAATGCAATTCAATGATTACACCAGCATCAACTTCGATTTTAAAAAGAAGTAAAATCTTGGGGTGGTATAAAAACAGGTCCATACATACAAATGGATTCAGATTTCAGACCAAAAATAAAACAGAAGAACAGAACCGCGTGGATAACCAAAATCTGAGAGAAAACAATAATCAAATTGCAAAGTGAACAAAATTATCTCACAGAGACACATTAAACCCAATAAATTTCCTCTTAACCATCATGCTTATGATCCGATCACAGGAGAGAATAATTCCTTGAAAGACATTCAAGATCATCATCATCACACATCCTTAATGACAAGGGTCTTGTCACTGATCATGGTATTCGATTAACAAAAATTAATTAAATGAACAAAAAAAAGAGACACTCTGACATCCTAACACGACCAATGATAATTTGGCAGCAGAAAACAAGGGGCAAAACAAACAACATAGAAGAACATGATGCATGACCATGAAACATGATACATACCTTGTTTTAATTATCTCTAATATTATTCTTAAAAGGAAACGATGAAGAAGTAGTAGTGTGAAATTATGCGTCAAGAACGGTTGGATGCAAACTCAAAAAGGGTGGTGTTGTGTTGGATGAAGTCTATCTATGCGCGTTTGTTGTGAGAAAGTAACCTTCGAGAGAAAGAGAGAGTCCCACCACCAGGAATAACACTCTGTCAAGCAAACCACCCTAACCATGCAATATCATTGCATTGCCACATTGGACCAGCCAAAGAAGAAGGCACGTCAACATCTATCACCATTTTTCTTTCCATATCTCACTTTTCTCCTATATATAGCTTTTTCATTTGCATTATAATATAATTATTATATCTCACACCCTCAAAGTGTATTAATTACTCATGCATGTACATGCCTCATTTATTTCTTTATAAATTACATTCAATTCATCTTTCATAACTATTCATTAATGTCTAATAGTTTCGTTCAAATTTAATCATTCATAAACAAGACGTTACAAAGTGTTTGTGTCTTACATTTTTTTTTATTTCTTATTTTTCTCTATCATGTTTTTCGCATCTACGCCCCATGCTCATGCATATAGTTTCAGGTGTTCTTCTATGGCGCGCGTATATAAATAAACAACTTTACTTTGCCGCTTTATTCGTACGCAAGTGACAAATGTTAGCTTTAACTCTCAAACCTCATCTAATGCATTGCACAACAAATCATAAAGAATATTTATGCAATTTAATTCTATTTTAACTGTATTTAATCAAGCATTATCACTAAATATTAAATAATTAATGTTTTGGGGTTAGCTGATTCCCATTATTTAAGGTCAGCATGTATTTCATTTTATTTATATATAAAAAAAAACTTATAGAGCAATCGCAGGAGAATGTTACGAGTTCTTAGAATTATAAAATGTTACTTGTCACTATAAAAAAATTACAATTTATTAATAAATAAAAATTATCAAATATTAGACTAAAAATTAAATTATTGGTATATATTTTATAGGTTTACACACACACACATATATATATATATATATATATATATATATATATATATATATATATATATAGTTGTGTTGTGTCAACGGTGTATTGTGGCTGCTGATTTTGGTGTATCACCAAGGCATGGATGGATCATCCATAATTACTGTACGGCATAATCCATTGTCAAAGCAAAAACAATATATACACGCAAAGATTTTCATTTTATTTTTGTATTTTATATGTTTAGAAAAACCAGAGAGTTTGTAAAAATGTTTTTCTTATCTTATTTTCTAGAATAAAGTGGTAGAAAAAAAATACAAAGTTTTAATTCAAATATCATTACCAAAATCGCCTAATTTCCCTTTATTGACATTTCTATGTGCCACGGTATTCGGATTGTTAGTTAAAATGGACACATCCCTGTTACAAAGTTAGTGTTTTTCTTGGTGTTGAAGCGCTACTATTAAAAGCACACTCATGTTCTTTACTTTATGCAAACATAACCTTAAACTGATCACTCAAGGGATTTTCTGGGAATTAAATAAGCTCCTTAAGGACATCTCTTTAGATTTGGGTAAGCCCAAATATTCTATCGTCATAATAGTTAAGTTAATTGGACCTGGATCATATTCTTCAGTTATCTAGGCCTAGACCCAAAAAAATGTTTGTTCTTTATTACTTCAGTAGTTTATAGCCTTCTCTTTTTATGAATTTGTAGTTTTTATTCATAAGTTTACAACTTTTTCTTATCAATTTGGAAATTTTCAGACAAAAATTGTTTAGTTAATAGAAAAATTTTAAGCTTACAAGTAAAAATTATAATTTATGGGTATTTTTATATTGATTTCATGGAAATCATTAAATTAAATTATAATTATTTAAAGAAATAATTGAAATATATTATGTGACTATTTTAAAATTTAATAAATTATTAAAGTATCAATATTATAATTATTAATAAAAATTATATTATATTAAATAAATTTAAAATAATTAAAATTCAAATTAGTATTAAATAAAATAAATAAATATCATAATTTTGGAAACACCACTTGGTATAATAAAAAGAAACTAATCGTGAAAATACTCTTATTTGGTAATTCTACTAAAATAGCTCTCCTGTGAGAATTTTTTAAAAATACTTTTATTCAATAATTAATATCACAATTTACATTTTCAAAACTTGTAACGAAGGTTAGACTTGTCAAAATAATGAATATAACATTTTTAAAAAATTACTGAAATGAACCCATTAGGTTTATAAAAAAAATAAATTGAAAATAAGAAAAGAAACTACGCATGCTGTCATTTGTTTAAATTCTTCCCCTTTATGACAAAAAAATACATATTCAATTTACTGATTAAATTTTGAGTCGTTCAAATACAAACTGCAATTACAGGAGGATATTTTTGTTAATAAAATATTATTATTTACTAACAAGAAATTTTTTTAAGTATTGGATAATTTTAATTTATATAACTTTGTTTTAATAAAAATTAAACTATCAGTATAAACTTAAAAAATTTATATTGACAACTAATATATTATACTCATTTACCGTATTGATGGTATATATTTCTATTTTTTATCAACAAAAATATTTGTTAATATAATATTATACCATTAGTATAATTTTACAATATTTACACTATTGATTTATTTTTAAAAAATATATTAATGAAAATATTTGAATATTAAATTTTAACAAACAATAATTTATTTATGATGTATTAAACTGATAATAAAGAAAAGCAAACGTGTATTATATTATCCAATAAAAAAGTTGAGGTTCCCATTCTCTCCATTATTGAGTTTGATGAATCGGCAAAGGATCTCTACCAATGCTTAAAAGTGAAGTGGCCACCATATGTCACAATCATTAATTAAATTTAGTGATTCGTACTTTTGTCTTAGGAGATCCTTCTTTTTTTCTTTAACATTTTAATTTCAATCATAATTGTGATTCCATCTTCGTTCTTTCAATGTTCAATTAGATATTTTATTTTATCTAAACTACAAATATTATTTATTGAATACAATTAAGTGAAATCGTTATTAACACTAAAACTCTACTTTCAAATATTTAATACATTTATATTTACTAAATATATAGTCACATACAATATATTTGTCTCCACTGATAGTGGAACGTAGTGTTGAAACTTGAAAATGAAATCAGTAGAGAAATTAGACCACTAAATAAAAGTTATTAATATCAATTACTTAAACTTCACTTTAAAGATTAAAATTGATAATTTTTATTTAAAAAAAGTACATGTTTAAAGTATCTACCTAAGACAACATAGGGCGTTGATATATGTGATGATACACGACAATAAAATACCTAACCCACATTGCAAATAATAAAATATCTTTTCGGAAAGGAAAAATAGATACAGAGTCAATAAATGCGAGACACGTGTCTATATTCTTAATTGAAATATATTAATTTTCTCTCTCTTCTCTCTTGAATATATTTCTTCAAAGGTTTAGTGCCATTTTATTTTAAAATAAAAAATCTTTCTTTTTGTAACCTCTAGTCAAAGAATTAAATAGGGCAGACTATCTTCTGATTATTTTAGAAAATGAATCAAGAGATGCTAAAGATTAAATCAAATAAAAATAAGAGTATGAGTATACAAAGTAATCTATCTTTTTTCTATTTTTTTTTTATTTAATGAAATAGGGGGATAAAATCCATGTCTATTAATTATGGTTTTGTCTAACTTTCAGTAGTAAATACAAATAACTTACAACTTGCTCAAAGCATCATCCTTTGAACTATAGAAAGACAAAAAATTTCTCAATTAAGTATAAATCGGTTTTATTATTTCATTATATGAGTTGTTTTTTTAATAATTTTGAGAGATAAGTTATTTTTAACTTACAAAAAATTATGAATTTTATATTAATTTTTTCATATAAAAATTTCTCAATAAATTTATTCAAATTGAATCTAAGTGATTTCTGATTAAGTGAAATAAAATATAAATTTTTTATTTAATAAATTAAAATTTTTACTTATTTCTCTGACGTGAATTAAGTAAATGTGAGATTTCAGTAAATGCATTTTAGTCCCAACGTTTATTCTATTTAAAATCAAATATTATTATTTAAAAAATATTATTCAATAACAACAAACTAAAAATTGTTAAATGTTAATATAGTTTCTCAACTAAAAATTAAATTATTAATACCAAAATATTATCCATACTAATAAATAAAAATATATTAAAATCTATTTCTTGATAATATATATTAATAAAATTATTTAATTTTTTGTTAATTTGTTAGTATAATACATTATACTATTGATAAAAAAAAATTTAAATATTTATAGTAACAATTCAATTTTTATTTTAAAAAAATAAACTAACAAAAGCTAATTCACTTAAGTTAAAGAGAAATAAAGAAGAAAACGGAAGGTTTTTTTTCTAATTTTTTATGTTTAGTTAATATTTAAAAAAAGAAAAAGTCGTCAAAATCTGTCCTCACTTAAAGTAGAGAGATTTTAAGAAAATAAAAAAATTTCAATTAATTAGATAAAGTATTTTTTTAATTTAAATGTATATTCAATCATTCTATCGATTCTTTCAAAATGTAAATATTGACAAAACAAATTTTGTTTTTTCCCGACAAAACTTTTACGCATCACCATCACCATCACCAATGAATTGTGTTGAAACCCCAACTAATAACCTTTTGTGTTTCATCACAAAACTTCATAAAAAATACGTTTTGTTAAAACAATTTATCCAAAATAATTTATTCCAAAGAATATAATCATCGTCTTTCGTACGTGAGAGTAGTTATGAAAAGGTAATGCAATAATATGTATCATACAAAACATTTACGTCAAAATTTTATTGGTATAATTCTTTAAAGGGTAGAAAATATTTTAAATAATTTCATATGAAAAAATAATAAATATTTATATATTTTAAATTAATTTAAAATATCATAATTATTAACATAAATATTATAAATATTATTACATAAGATTTTAACACAACTTATTATTTAATTTGAGATTTATAAATATTTTTAATAGGAATTTAGATCAAATAAGTTATTAATAAGATATAAATAAATCTTTTATCTACTGTATAAGAATACCCCCTACGTAATAATTAATATAGTTCAACTATTTAAGTAGTTAACATTTTCTTTATTCTTATATTTCAAAAGTTTAATGTACTTAATAATATTATCTATTTAAAATGTAACAATAGTTGGGAAAAAAAAACAAGAAAGTTACTAATATCATGGATAATCAACTGTAATAATAATTATACAAGACACGAATTTAATGTATATGATATAAATTCTATTGTGAATAGATAATTTTAAATAATTTTTATTACGTGGTCGTTCTAAAATTAACATGACATGACATGTTGAGTATGAGTTAAATTGTTATGAATAAATCAAAATAAAAAACAATTTAAACGGTACATCCCAATATTTTTTTTTGTTTTGGTTTAAGAGATAATTCTATTCATTTCACGATGACTTATATTAGTGATATATATTTAAACAATAAAAGTTTTAAATTTATCATTCAAATCCAAATTTTACATACAAATTTCATATAAATATATCCATAAAAGGTAAAGCTCTTAATTAAGAAAAATTGTTATAAACAAATACTGCTGTAATAATATTATCATATACATTTATAAAGAGAGTGAAAGAAAGAGACGGTAACGGCAAGTCACATCGGGATAGGTATCATGTTTTATTTTTCATTTCTAATAAATAATGTTATTTATTTTATAATTATTTATAAAATTATGTATAAATCAAAGAAAATATTCTCAAATAAGCTGCTTCCAAAAATTTCTCCATTTCGAATGAATCATCCACGAGCATTTCTTTGGCTAATGCCTACGTGAAAAATATTTAAATTTTTTTTGTTTTTTGTCTACCTACGCCGCTACGTGAAAAATATTCATGTTCTACTATAAATCCCCCACACCCTCAGCACATTTTTTACCGACATTTACACAACTTCAATATTTTCTACCACTTCTATAATCTATCCCTGTCAAACCATGGTTTCCGACACAAACCAATACCAATCCAAGAATGTATGTGTAATTGGAGCTGGACCATCAGGGCTAGTGGCATCGAGGGAGTTGAGAAAAGAAGGTCATAAGGTGGTTGTGTTGGAGCAAAACCATGACATTGGAGGTCAATGGCTATATGACCCAAATGTAGAAGGAGAAGACCCTTTGGGAAGAACCCCTTTGAAAAAGGTGCATTGTAGTATCTATGAATCTTTAAGGCTCATGTCTTCCCGAGAGGTCATGGGCTTCACTGATTTCCCATTTTCAGTCAAGAAAGGTAGAGACATGAGGAGGTTTCCTGGCCATAGAGAGCTTCTTTTGTACCTTAAGGACTTTTGTCAATGGTTTGGGTTGGGAGAGATGATAAGGTTCAATACAAAGGTGCATTATGTGGGACCTCTGAATTATGGCGTTTCTAGTGATGATTTGAAATGGGTTGTTCGAAGCAAAGAGAAGAATAGTGAGGAGTTAGTTGAAGAAGTATTTGATGCTGTGGTTGTGGCCACTGGCCATTACTCTCAACCTAGATTGCCTTGCATTGAAGGTAGGTGGATATCATTTGCCTCTTGATCTATATCTGTCACTCTCTCTCGCACATATTAGGATTCCAGTTGTGACATATACTAATTAATCAATTATCAACGCATATAATTTATTAATATAAAATAAATATTTGTATGGGAATTTTATCTTTCTCATCATTTAAAAAAAATCATGGCCCATATATTTCATGCAAGTGAAAAGGATATATGAATAGCACCATATACATTTCAAGTTCATGTATAAACTTATTTTATTCCCGTCATGGATTCGCAGGAATGGACTCATGGAAAAGAAAACAAATGCACAGTCACATTTACAGGTCTCCAGAGCCATTCCGCGGGGAGGTATTAATATATGACCCCAATATTTACTCCTTTTATTTTCCAAAGAGTGAGAGATTTTTATATAAGAAATGACCATGCAAGTTTTATGGATATATGCAATATAGCTAATCATAGATAAATATTTTAACTTTCGTATTTTGAAATGTTTCCTTTTAACATTATTGAGAAAAAGAAGTTTTGTACAGATAGTGGTGGTGGTTGGAAATTCTTACAGTGGACAAGAAATATCAATGGAGCTTGTGAAAGTAGCTAAGGAACTCCACCTCAGTTCGAAATCTCTAAATATTACGGAGGGTTTATCTAAAGTCATATCCAAATACGATAATTTCCACCTTCATCCACAGGCATCGATCACTTTAATTTCTTAAGTTCTAATTCCATGAAAAGAATTCACTAGTATTTTTCCTAGCCTCACAACATGCGGTACATTGTGCAGATAGATACCCTTCAAGAGGATGGAAGAGTCCTATTCACAGATGGTTCCAGCATTCTCGCAGACACTATTTTATATTGCACTGGGTAACATCCCATATCTCACCAGAAAATCAAGCCGAAAAAATATTGATTAAACACCTATGTCATACAACATATTTACTATATATTCACGCCTCATACGTATATTCAGAAAGTCAAATCTTCTAAATTTTACTATTTCGAAGGTTAATTCATTAACAATTGGGATTGGATATTTATGACATTAGGCTTTGAGATCTTGCTATGGACCATCTATGTCCAACGATCATGACATTCCTCATAAAATGGATTAGTAATGAATCCTAAAATAACTGATGCTGGGTTATGTGTGTAGGTACTCCTATACTTTCCCCTTTCTAGACACAAAAGGAATGGTTGCTGTGGATGACAACAGAGTGGGTCCTTTGTATGAACACACTTTCCCCCCATCACTTGCTCCTTCTCTTTCTCTTGTAGGCATCCCCAAAAAGGTAATTACCCTGAATTGGATCTGGAATTAAGATCAGGTAGGACGTTTCTTTTATTTATTTATTTATTTTCACAGATACCATATTTTTTAACACAAATTTTGAACAAAAAATAAAGGTTTCTTTAATTTTAAGACATTTTTAAAATACATGTACATAAAAATAATCATATGTATATTTTAGTTATTCTTACGAATAATTGAACCAATTTGATAAATCATAATTTATACTACAACAATAATGGTAGTGTTGGGTGATGAACGGTGCAGATCCTGGGGCTTCCTTTCTTTGAGTCGCAAGGAAAATGGATAGCTCAACTGCTTTCAGGGAAAAAGGTTTTGCCGTCATGTGAGGAAATGATGAAGTCGATCGAGGAGTTCTATCATTCAAAAGAAGTAGCCGGCGTTCCTAAGCGCTGCACTCATGAAATTGATACATTTGAAGTAAGTTTATATATTTGGGGTTGGGGGGGTTTTGTATGCGCTAATCATAAAGCATACAAAGATTAGGAACATATAGTATAACAGTAAAGCTTGTTTTGCAGTATTGTGACAAATACGGAGAGAATGTGGACTTTCCAAAGTTACAAGAATGGAGGAAACAGCTGTGCATATCAGCCGTATTGAACTCTTCTGTGAACTTAGAGACATATCGTGATTCCTGGGATGATGATGATAAGCTTCAGGAGGCCCTTCGAAGCCCCTACTTCACTCAACTTCAACCTCATCATGATCATGATCATGATCATGATCCTTCTCCCCTTAATTACTAGTTTCTTTTATCATTTCTCTGTTAAATCTTTGTTACTCAATCTTCCATTGTTATCATGTTCCTCACTTTTCGGACTCAATACCATACCTTGGTTCAGTCGTAATGCAAAAAATTACTTGATGTCAAATTTAGTTTTTTTTAATTAAAAAAAATGCTAATTTTATTATGTCTTATAAACTAACAACACATTTTATATACTTTCACATATTAATAATAATTATTATTATTAATTTTATATTAATAAATAATGAGTTTAGTTAAAAAAAATATAAATATCTTTTATTTTTTAATATACTAAAGTAATTATAAAACTCAATTTAGAGTATACAATATATTCTTAATTTATAAGTACCGTAGTAAACATTATTATTTTTATTTTTATTTTTTAAAATTATTGATTTTAATTTCACTCACTGTCATAATTAAATGAATAATTTTTTAAACTAAAGAGACTAAAAGAATTTAATTTATAGGAATTGCAATTAAAATTTGGGTTAATTTGTGGAAGGTGGTGTGTTGTATAATTTAAAAACACAAATTCTAAATTATACAAATCAAAAGTATAACGGGGTAAAGTGAAAATTTTCCTAAATTTTATTAAGATTATAAAAAATAATAATTAATAGATCTTAAAAATTGGTCTTTATTTTATAATTAAAAAAGTAATAATTATCTGTTATAAATAACAAAAAAAAAATACCTAATAAAATAAAACTAATGAAATATTTGGCCTAAATTTAATTAATAACATTAAATGTAATTTCTAAAATTCAAATATTCAATATTTAACTTGATAAAACACCTTGTTATATCTTAGTCTTGATAAGTCAAACATTTTCATGTATATTTTAGAATTAAAATTAACTAAAAATGATGTATAAACTATATTATCTTTTGTTGTAATAGTTTTTTATTTTATTTTCATATTTATTAATTTTTTAAAATTTTAAAAATTAACATCATTACCTAACTTTTTTTATTAGCTTATATAAATTTTTATATTTACAAAAAATATATTTTTTATTTTTTAAATTTAGAATTTATTTTTAAGAGTCTCGTCACTTAAATTTATGCTAATTAAAATACACTGATTATTGATATTTAAATTAAAATATTTTTTTATATTATACGATAAAAATATTATTTTAAAATAAATTATGTTTTAAAATTATTTAAATATATATTATTTATAATTATAAAGTTAAAGTTAACATATGATCGGAGAATATATTTTTTCAGATAATTAGTTAGTTATTTAGTTATTTTTAGGTTTTTGCTCTGTTGATAATAAAAAAATTAAAATTAAAATAATTTTATGATATACATAATTATTTGTAAAAATATTAAATTGTACTCTTTATATATATATATATATATATATATATATGTATGTATGTATATATTCTACCACTAGTTACAGGAAAGTAAAAAATGACAATTAAAATTAAGGGAGATCTTGTGAAGATTTTCTAGAAAAGTATATGCTAATTAAAACGGATGCGTCGATTGTAACCCATATTTAATTTATAATTAGAACATGTTTACCTTTCAAATGTGTTTCTTTACTAACAATGTGCCAAAATACAAGTCAACAACTTTTTGGTTCCCTGATAAAAATTAAAACAACTTTTTGGTTTCCTGTAACTAGTGGTAGAATATATTACCAATTATTACTCTCTTTTTCTGTTCTTTTACTTTCACAAAAGACTCCAAATTGTTGCTAATTTGAGACTACACTAAAAAAACAATATTTAAAAATTAATTACAATTTTTTATAAAATATCTTTAACTAAAATAAATAATGCTAATGAATAATATTTTAAAATAAAAATTAATAAATAAGACCAATTTTGGTGCATTCTAAATTTATAAACTAAATTTTAATCAACTTAATATTCTAATTTTAAAATATTAGTAATTTTGATTAAAAAAAATATTTATTCAAAAACACACGCATGCCAATTGACATTCAAGCATTTTATGTAATGGGTAAAATAATAATTAAATACAATACACTTGAAAGCTCTCATAACTCTAAGCTTAGTTAGGACCCTACCCTACAGCTATGGACGGTCAATTCGACAAGATTAAGGTTTTGTTAATCACTCTGGACCCTGCAGAAGAAAAGTTTTGTTAATTAATGTTATTGATTAGCAAATATTATGGAATTGGTTGTTTTATCTTTTTAAATATAATATTTTGTTTTTAAAAATAAAAAATAAAAAGAATTGTTTATTAATGTAAATTTTAAAAATAATTTTTTATTTTCAGTTTTTAAAATTAAAAAATAAAATTACTACTAAAGTGTTTGTTTTTATTTTTCTATTTTTCTTTTTAAAACTAATAAAAAGTTAACTAAAAATAATTTTAAAAACTAAATTACAAAACAAATTTTATTTCTATTTTTTCTTAAAAATAATTTTATAAAATAGTTTTAAATTTTAATTTTTAAAAACTAAAAATCAAAACTAAATCAAGCTCTATCTATCACATCTTTCTGGTTATGCATCAATAATATATTTAAGTTTGGAACAACATTTGTTGACAAAATACTTTTTAATAAACTTTTAATTATTTATTAAAAACTTATTTAATATATTTTTAAAAGTTAAAGAAACAAAATAAATTAAAATTAAAAAAATTAAATTAAATTAAATTAAATAGTTGAAAGACAAAAACACATGCTTAAATATGTCAACAAAACTAAATAATTAGGCTATTTTATCAATTATAAAATATTTAATGTTTAAATATACAATGTAACCGTCAAGATTATATTGAAAAAAATTGAAATATATATTTTATATTATTAAAAAATCCTTAATGTAATTTTTGTTTAAAAATGGTATACCCTTCGAATTTGGATCGCCTATAGTTTTGGTGAAAATTGCATATTGCAGTTTCTCGTTCGCTTAAGCGAAATTTTCTGGTTTAAGCGAAAATTGACTTAAGCAAAAATACGCAGAAAGAAGATGTTTCCTCCTCTCCATTACTTCAGTTCCCTCTTTTCTCCTCTCCTTCCATGCCAGTCACTCTCTTTTTCCTTCCCTTTCACTCAGTCTCTTTCTTTACTCCCCTTCCCCATTTCTTCTTCCTTCAACTCCACCCAATCTTCTTCCCCCTCTCTCCTTATCTAGCTCTCTTTCCCTCCCCTCCCCTTCTCTCCTCATCTAGCCATTTTTTCTTTCCCCTTATTAGCCTTCTCCGTTCACTTGTGCTTTTGCCCTCATCTCTGATCTCTCTCTCAGTCTCACTTTCTCTCTTCTTTTTCTAATTTTTTTGCTACTTTTTCTAAATCTACTTAAATAAATTTTTCTGCCTTAAGCGAAATTGACTTAAGTGAATTTATTTTAACTTAAGCTAACATCATTTTTTTACCAAAATTTGTTTAAGCGAATACAAAACTATAGCCTGCATGAGAATTACAGACGATCTGGTGAAAACTGCAAACGATCCAGATCCATACCTTTCGGTGTACATACGAATATATTAATGTCACAGTTGATCTTATAGTTATGAAAATTTTAAACCGATGTCAGTTTTCTTTTTCTTTTTTTTTTTCAAATCGAAGCGAGTATGAGTTCACACTTATTGTCTGTTTTTTTTTAATCTAGGACCCGGAGTACTGTACAACCCTAAACAACTTTCAAAATGTTTGTCTTTTTTGGTACCGACCAAGCCACCATGTTTTTATTTTTTTCGTTAAAGTATATGTCACCGTGCTAAGGAGCAAGAAAAAATATAGCGTTCATCAAAGTTTTAAAAGGGCCTTGAGCCCAAACATTTTGAAAGTTGTTCTTTGTGGTATGTTGACCCATAACATTATTATTATTATTATTATTATTATTCCCGACAAACATTATTATTATCGTCGTCGTTGGTTTTATTTAATGTCTTACGAATTAATGCTAGGTAAATAAAATATTAATAAATTTTAATTTAATATTAATTTGCTAAAAAAATTTCTCTGTTTACGAGAGTTCAAGTTGAAAATTTATTTGAGTAAAAATTTATGTTAGATATTTTGTATGAGCAAAAGTGATCAACAGTACTTAATTGGTATTTTGAGTGGTCAATCCATGTTGTTTTCTTATTTTATTAATTTAAAATTTAATTTTCTAAACATCACATTTTAAAGTTAATTTTAATTATATAAAAATAATAAATTTTTATTTAAAAAATATATATTTTTGCGTAACAAACTTACTTTTCTATTTTTAAATGTTAAAAATCAATCTTAAAGATTGATGTTGACTTTTGTATTCTTTGAAGTTTAACCAATGTGTGACAACCTTGTAATTAATACTTTGTATGTGAATCTTTTGACATGAACAGGTTGTTCCTATTTTGTAAGTAACTTTTTTTGTATTGATGCATGATAACTCTAGAGTGTTATTTTAATTCTCCAAAATTGTGAGACAATATCTGTTGTTTCAGCTTGATGGTGAAAGCTTATCAGGGCTTGTAATTAATTGACAGTGAATAGCTATATACCATCCCATTTGTGTGTGTACCCACTGTTATGTTTCTTTCTTCTAATTTCTTCATCGTTAGATTGATAGCTTATTAACATCATTTGAAGTTTATAGTTCCATAGTTTTAAAATGATTGAAATTTTTTACCACTGCTGATATGGTTTACCAACTTATGATTATCCCTAAATTTTTGTAGTTTTTTTAATTGTGTTTTTCTTTCAATTTCTAACACATTTCTACATTTTCTTCAAGCAATTGCTAATTCAAGAATAAAGAGTGAAGTCTTAAATATTTTTTATATTTATAAAAAAACTAACATCGTAATAGTTTGATTGATTAATTTTGCTCACAATCATGACATAGTCTTGCATATATTGTGGTTTGAGGTATCATAGTTGACAACAGTAAAAAAGTTGTAACCACCATCAACGAAATCAACATCAGACTTAACATCAAAGTGTGACTTTGGACTATGACATGAAGATTCATAGTTATCTCGAAGTTAGAATCATCTTAAATTTGTCTCAACCAGTCGACATAAATAGCACACCAAACCTTTAACCACACAGAGGGATTTGTTCATTTTACTCTCAGATAAGGCAAAAAATCCATATCTTAGTAGGGTTTAGATAACCCATTCCATGCTAATGTTATCAAATCAAGTAACATTAGTATAACAGTACAACTCCTAAAATCCAAAAGACTCGCGTTCATTTAACTTGTAAGAACACCAACTTCCAATGAAATTTCAAGCTCACAAAAATTACAAGCGACCACTGGAACAGTCCTCACTCTTACCAGAGTTAAGATATTTAACATATTAGATTTTTCCCTGGCAAAACTGTCCTCTTCTTTAGTAGAATACAATTGACATTAATTTTCTTTGTAATATTTTATTCTAATTTTGAAGTTTAATCCCTCATGTATAGTAAAAAAAAATAAGTCATTAATGAAAACAATTAAAATAGCACAAATATTATCTCTTACTATTAAACAAATTATCTGCATATCTTCACAACAATAAAGATTTCGAAGGTATATTTTGTACAGTGTAATAAGTTAACAAATCAGAATCTACATTTATCTATTTACACTAAATCATTTTAACTCGAGTTCAAAATCATCAATACTTCTGTAACGCAATCGCGTCAACAAAATTTAAACACTAAACCATTTTCTTCTTTTTCTTCTTGAGATATGTTTAAATTAAAATTTTGTATTTTATTTTAACATATAATTTTTATTTCTAAAAAAATGAATATATAATTTATTTAAATCTATTTGTATATAAATGGTTTTTTTTTATATTTTATTTTCCTTGTGATTGTCAACATGCTTGACAATTGATTTTGAAGGTTTATTATTATTTTTTTATCATAAAAAATGAAATAAAGATTTTAAACAAAATTTCAAAATAAAAATAGACATATTTAATATTACATTGTACCCTCCAAAATATTAAAATTAATAATATACTATTCAAAGTTAATTGTCGGTGACAGTAAAAAAAATAACAATTAAAGTATAACTCGTATAAATCTATTAAAAGATTATTCTTACATAAAAGGAAAGGATAATATAATTAAAATATCGCTAAAAAAAAGGGTGATTTACTCATATTTTAATTATAATTTTATCTCTTAATATTGTTAATAATATTTATTATATTCATATGAATTTTATTTTTTTTACTAAGTAACAGGGCTAATAGTCCAAAAAATAAAACAGACTAAGGAAAGACTTACCGGTCTAACTCTCACAAGCATATAAAAAAAAAAGAATAATACAAAAGGAGCAATATCATAATAAGACAAAAGTAAAGAATTTTCAAGACTTAGTTTGGCTAATCTATCGGAATAAGAGTTGACTTCTCTAAAAATATGAACAAATCTAATGAATCTAATTAATTTGATAAGATCCCTAATATTATTAATCAATTCAATTAGAGGATGATTAGTATGCTGAACATGCAAAATTAGAGACAATGCTTCTTTGGAATCACTTTTCACCCATATAGAGTGAATATCTTCCAAAGAAGCTAAATGAAAACCCAAAAATAAATCCTAAAGCTCAGCAATAAGAGAGGTACATGTATATCTATTTGATTTGCTGCAGAAACTAGATATGAATTTGCCATTGCTGTCACGAATCACTCCTCCACAAGCAACACCATCAAAGTGTAAAGAAATAGCTCCATCCACGTTAAGCTTCAACTAGCCAGAAAGAGGAGGGATCCATTTAACATGCACTTGGTCCTTAGCAACTCTAGCCAGAGGCTTGATCAGTCCCCTATGACAATTCAACCAAAAATCAAAATCACACAAAATTTTATAAATGATCTGATTAGGAGAAGAAGAAAGAGATTGGAAAATAAATAAATTTCTATCTTTCCATAAATGTCAAATAATTGTACCAAATAGACTAGCCTAGTCAAAAAACTTGCTAATCCTAATATTAGTCAAATTCAACACAACCAATTAGTAATCTCCAAGCTATGAAATTGGACCTATTGGTGAGGAAAAATAAAATGATCCAGACTTGCTTAGCATAAAAGCAGTCTCTGAACACATACATAATGGATTCAGGAGCTTCTATACACTTAGAACATAAGTAAGACTCAGTTATATGCCTATAATGTCTTTCCTTGTTAGTGAGCAACTTACCATGGGCCAATTTCTAAAGGAATAGCGTAATTTTGGGAGGCCCTTACCATTTCCAAATAAATTTAAAAATATCATAGTTATACCTAAAACTTTGATTGGTCTTAACACATAAATCATAAGCAGATTTTATTAAGAAAATTTCATTAGCTGTCAATTTTTAAAACATAGAGTTAGGACTCTAGACTAAGTAAGGAGAATAATTTGAGATATATACTAACAAATCTGAGGGGGGAGAGTAAGATTTAATTTGTCTCAATCCCAGCCTTTATTATTAGAAAAAATAGCAACAGACAAATCAAGATCAAAGTTAGAAATAGAGAATAAGACTACAGTAGATAAATTAGCAAGGACACTAATCATATGTCCAAAACTTAACAGCCATACAATCCAAAATTATCCAACCTAAGCTAAGAGCAAAGTTTGGCCAAACAGAGACAATGTTATTCATATGAAACTTAGACTTAAATAAACGCTTAATGTGATATTTTATGTAATCTAAAGTTCTTTTCCGAAAGCTTTGAAATAGGTACACAAAACTTTATTGTACCAAAAAAAAACAAACGGGTATACTAAACCCTAAAATAATATTTTAGACTTATTACAAATTCATCCTTAATGACATTCTACGTAAGTTGCAATTGAAGTTACTGCTTTAATCACTTTCACGATCGATACAACGATTATGCACTCAATCTAAACGAAACTTGAGTTCGATAAAAAAAATCCATTAAAGCCTAAACTGCCTCATTAGCTCATACAAATTCAATGAAAATATTATTATCAACATATTTCATTTTATTCTAGTAAAAATATAAGGCTACCAAATATTATAGTACTTATTATAGTATTTTTGAAATTAAAGAGAATATTACATACTCTCTCTAAATTAAGGATTATGATTTCTTTAATACTTTAAAATTAAAAATATTTATATAATTTTTAAAACAAATCACTAACATCGTCCCATCATATAAAAAAGTATAAAATATTTCTCATTTTAGAGAATACAATAAAATTTATCAAATATTATATGCAATATTTGATAAAATTATAAATAACATCGTTTCAAAATATTAAACTTCTCCTCTTTTATTTTATTTTTTACAATAATGTTTATTACATACATAACTCAACTTTTATCATCACAATTCATTTTTCTTTATCTTTTATTTTCCTTTCGTCTTATCTTAATATATCAACAGTTTTAAATTCTTTAAAATAAATAAAACGAGACTCCCATTACGTGCAAGGAACTAACATTTCTCATTTTCTTGATCTCTCTCAAAACTCATTTATTTATGCTTTCCAACTCTTTCCCTCTTAGTATTTTCGTGTGCTCTCATTTAATGGTATTGACGAAAAAGGCACATAGTTATGGTGGCTGGGTCCCTCTTTTTTGGTTGGGTGATATTAATAATTTATTTAATCAAACGCACGTGTGCCTTGATATTAATTAACATTGTTCATATATATATTGATCAGGTATTGAGGGAGAAAATACACTGTCTAACACATATTTTTAACACCCTAATTAAGTATTAATTAAAATAATTAGGAGAATATTAAAAAAAAGCTTTCCTCGTGGGTAAGTTTTGAATTCCCAGGAACAATCATTTATGTTTAGGAAGGAAGTGCAGCGCAGAAGTGCCCCAATTGAGCGTTTGCCAATTAATGGTCCAAAGTGTGCCCAGGTGCTTCAAATCTAGAACGGGGACGGGGCCTCCAACTAGGGCATCAAGAAAAATTGGTTTGGTCAATTCAGCCATCAAATATTTTGGTAACCTAATCTTCAAACTGATAAGCCTCAACCCACAAATAATGATAATCTATATTTTTAAGAGGAGAAACTTTCATAATCAGATATTTCAAACAAAAAACTCGTGTTTTCATTACGAAAGAATAGTCTACGCATTAATTATTGATAATAATTTAAAGTAATTTATACTGTTTTCTAATATGCAATTATACTCATTTTTACCATAATAAATTTAGGTATTATTGTTTTTTATATGATACTTTAGATTAATTAAGTTATATTTAATTGATTTGAATTCTTAACTAAAATCAAATAAATTGTCACATCGAAATTTTTAAAGGAAAAAGACCCGTATTCAACCCCTTTGGGTTCAAAAGGCATGTCATTTTCGCTTACAGCCTTCAAAGTGATTAGGTATTTGTGGTCAGTCATAAACTTGAGTTCTTGACCACTCCAACTACTTTTTAATTAAGTAAAACTTCACCTACACACACAAAATAAATCTAGCATTATCTTAATTTAAGTTTTAAAATATTGAATACTTAATTATATATTGAGAAATATAAAAATAAAAATAAAAATACTTTTTTATAGTTAAAACAAAATAGAAAAACAATGAATTGATGCCACAATTTCTATCCCAAAATTATTAGTATAGAATTATACACATGGTTTTATAAGTCAATTAAACACCTTTATTTTAATTAAATAAGTTATAAATAAACTAAAACAATAATTAAGGTAATAACTAGTAGTGAAAAAATTGACAAATATATAAATGACAAGATTCATGACCTAATACTTAAGGTTATGAGTTGAAAATAAAATGTAAGTCTTTTTTATAATTTATTCATAGTTTATTGAAAGAGATTGCTTCCATGATTTAAATGCCGTAACAATAATTAACCAAATACAGTGGTGACGAATTATTGGGTAGAGATGAACACAAAAAATAACAATGATAGTGTCTTTAGAATGCAGACAGGATCACGTGATGCGCAGGTTATGCTTATGCATCCACTCCCTAACCGCAGCATATGAAATAGGCACTGCAACTTAAAAGGATGTTTTCATTACGCGGCCAAATTTTAACATCATTCTCAAGTTCTTGTGTAGTTCTAGCCACAGGTTTTGAATTAGCTTTACTTTTTTAAAATATAATAATTTATTTTTAATATTTTTGTGAAAATAGAATATTATTTTATCAAAAACATATAATCTCATCTTTCATGCACTGAATTTGTTGGGTAGGCACGTGCACGACCGGTCAATCATTTCACTTGGCAGTCCTTTTGGTAACATACACAAATGACTACATTATTAGACAACACAACACAAATTATTAAAAATATATACTTTATTTCTTCAAAGATTTTCTCTTCTTACACGGCCAAGGTTGAAGTGGCAGTGGACTCTGTTTCAACAAAACTAAAAATAAATAAATAAGACAAGTTGTATAACATAGATGCAGCTATTTCTTTTCCGAGTAGCACACTAGTACATGAAGAAAAAGGAACGAGAAATTAACAACTAGCTAGTATTAGCCTATTGGGTTGGGTATTAGGTGGAAGTAGCTTTGTGGTCATGCGTTGTGACTGGGTATTTCTGAGCATTCTTTAATATTTTGGTTAGAGCTGCTTGTCCAAGATCTAATCCACAAACATCAGCAAGACGCACCAGATACAGCAAAACATCTGAAAGCTCTTCCTCTAAGTGCTCCTTATCATCAGAACTCCAATTGGGTAATCCCCTTGCAACCTCTCCTTTCCACTGGAAGATCTCAGACAACTCTCCCACCTCCCCAACCTGCAGTACAAAAAGTATCCATCAACTATATGTATAAAACATTTATGATGGATATAGATACACAGCTTAATTATTTATTTATTTAATAATTTATATTATAAATTCATTCATAAAACTTGCTAAAATAACTTATTTTGTCTTATATCGAAAAGTTTATTTAAATAAGCTAAAAACAACTGACAGATATCATAATTTATTTTCATAAATTATTCATAACATCTTTGGAATGGACTATTTTAAGGAAATTTTTTAATGTCAATTTAGGCATATATTTGGGACTTACTAGAGCTAAAAGAAGATTTCTAGGACTGTGATATTGATTCCATCCTCTTACTTCAGCAAACTCAGCAAGCCTTTGGCTAAGTTCCTGAAGGGAAACATCTCTTGTTCTGGGATTAGGAAATCCACAGTACTCCATCTTCTTAGTTAGCAGGGTTCTTTAATTTTCGGTTCATCAAATAGTCTTGCGTGCATGTCAATTTATAGACAACCTGAAAGTGGGGCTCCAAGAAAGGGAGAAAGAGAGAGAAGGTGACAGGATATATTCTTTCTTTTGTTCCCTTTCTAACTAATATAAGCACTAATTGTTGTAGTGGAGGAGCACTTGATTAGTTTTTTGTGTAGGACAATAATCATGGAGCTGCTGGTATGGCAGATATGCCTCCATCCTTTCATCCATGACTTGAAATCACTTACCCCTGAAAAGTTTTAGCCCCAATTTGAATAGTAATTTTCTCTCTATATATTCTCCTAATAGCCCATCATACTCACCTATATGCTCACATGCATCTCTATAGAATCTAGCAGATGTGTTAATTTTCTAAAAGAATCTAGTTTTGTCCCTCTCCAATTTGGATTTACTTTCCTGCCAATTTGATATGGTTCTTAAATCTTCATATCTGATGATACTATATCTTTTCTCTTGCGCATGAATTCAGTATGGACACACAAACATCACCTCAGGTGCTGTCATGGTTTAGAATCCCAAAAATTGCGATTCCTATAGGGAAAATATGCAACATAATCTGTCCAGAAAACATCTATACAAAATTCACTGTATGAGGGCATGTTTACAGATTGGGTGAGATGACATTATTTTTTAAATATGTAGCTAATGACGCATGTTAAAAAAATTTAAAATCGTCAATTTTATTAAAGATTATATAATATTTAATATTAGTAATATACTACATATTATAATATCTCAATATTTTTAATAAAAGCTTATTATGAATAATTTTTTATTACATGTTTTTAGACACGCAAAGTAAAAACATCAATTTTAGAAATATAGCTATAGGCTATAGTTTATTGGAATGTCTAATCTGACAAATTGGAAGGATACATAAGAGACCAATTTTGCTTAGGAAAATGAGGAAGGGTGCTCATGCGCATATGCTTTGCAGGTTGGCATGCACCTAGGGTTTGTGCCTGTCCTGACATGTATGTCCTCTACTCCTATCTCTAACAACTCAATTCACTACAGTTAGGTTCGAAAAGATGTGAACCTTTCTTCTTTAACTTCAGACAATCATAAGAATCAGATTGAAAATACACGACATTTATAGCAAAAACTTTACTATAATGTACTTTAACCGTATATTTTATAAACAAACATTTAGTGGTATAATTTAGATGCTTGGCCAAGTATATACACTTTAAAAGGACGTATTCTAATTCTTTACATTATTTAGTTTTATTTAAATATTATCTTTCAAGTATTTTTGAGATGTAAAATTACTTATTTTAAATAATTGTAATTAATTACTTATAGGCATCTTTGTTGGCTTCTTCTTTGAAAGTTCCATCTTGGAGAAATCAAAAGCCAAACACTCTAGTAATTAGATAAGCGGGGTTAATGGTCCAAATCACCCTGTATCTTAAACCGTAAAAAATAGTAAAATTTTGCAGAAAATTTGAAAAACACGTTAGTATTGCTAACAAGGTTTGAACAACCAAACCAAACAAAATATTTACCAAATTATAAGAACTCATCATAACTAAGATTGGT